AACTCCATTTGCTTTGGCATGTACACCGGTAAAGCCCCCCCCCAATAATTTGGCCGCAAGTACTCTTTTCTCCAGGTTATTGCGGCCCCTTGACCCACGCCTATAAGGACCTTGGATGGAAGCCCCCCCCCCCCCCAATCAAGAATTGCTTCCGCCGGCCCTGCCCCATATTACTACACTACCTGCCTACCTGCCTGCATATTTGAACGTTATCTTATACAGGAGCCGGGTATATCTATGGAAAGCACACAAATATAAGTAGTCTCACGGGAGAACAGTAGGACTTAAAACCCAATTTCATTTCAGTTCACAGGAGAACATTTCATTTATAAGTAATCTCATTTTCAATACCTTTCTACATGTTTGAAGGTTGTGAGCAAAATACTCAAACTATCGATAGCCCGCAGTTCTATTGTTTTCTTCATGTCAATGTTCACAACATTGTACCTATAAATAATGCGTTTCAGGATGGCATGTTTGTTACAGGGTTTCCTTGTACTTATGCAAGGCCAATGACCTATATGATTACTACAGCGTGACAACCATATAAACCCACTGTCCTGGGACTTCACCTTTAAACAAAATGTATGTATGAAAGTGGAGGGGGTTGGGGGTACTTATTAGATTGGGTGTCCGGGAAAATTTGTGCAATACATAATGTAGCTTTATAAAATGACCGTTATTGGGCTGAAGAAAAATCACCCTACTTTTCTGCACCGACCGGGATAACGAAGACAGATGTACGCCATATATACTGTGTACCATGAGGGAAATGGCCTATTCTCATTTCCAATTCCAACTGTGATTTAAACATAAATCTTATTCCTTAAATTTACAGAAATTAAATACAGAATACGATAACATGCCAATCTGATTAAAATACATATCTATATTTCGTTTCTTTTTTTTATACTTTCGATGGCCTACACCACATGAAGGTCACGTCAGGGGTCAAAAGACCGACTTATGACCCTATGACGTCAGACATTTGATTAACCAATCAGCATTGATGTTACTAGTGGATTACCCACAGTTCCGTGAAAAACACGCCTAAGGCTCGCCGTAACAGACCGTTTCATTGGCTTATCCCTGACACCATTCAGAACACGAGTTAAATAACAACTCTTCCAGATCCAAGTGTAGTGAAGACAAGTAAAATGAAATTTTGAACTATAAAAACGAAACGAAATAGGATCTGCGTTTTAACCAAATTGGATAACAAGCTTTGTCAGCTTTTATAAAATCGCTTCTTACTGTCAATGGTTCTTTTACGTGCACGCCAACGTGTACACGGGACCTCGTTTTTCCCATCCGAACGACTAGGTACTGGTCTCGTCAAACTCAGTAACACCATAATAGTGATAACAGAGATCAATTTGGTACATACAGGATTTATTTACATCGGGAACAGGAACATAAATCAAACAGGAACTAAACTACACCAGGAACATAATTAACAATAATATTATATCGTAAATCAATAACGTATGAGGTTCAATGTTTTCGCACATGATGGGTTCAAATTGGTTCTATGCATTGAAATAAATAAATTTAAATGTATATAATATAAACCTAATATGATACACTTATGGAGCACATTGTCACAACTCTCTACCTTTCATCCACTGGAAAATTCCTGGGGACACCGAGATCGAACCCTAGACCTGATTAGTGAGTCAACGCAGTATTCACTGAGCCACCCCGAACTAACCATGGAGCTTACGGGGAAAAAGCTTGCATTCTTTGGAATTCAATTAGTTTCAGGACAAGCAACCCTTTGATTCATTTGTTTATTCATGTACGTATAACCATACAGCCAGGTATTTTACAAGCAAATGGCCTACGTAGGGATATTAATCTGAAAATTGTCAGTGGCCATCCTTGCGTGATAAGTTGAGTCTTTATAACTATTAATGTACAGTGATATGTAGAAAATCCGATTTATCACTATATACATGTATATTGATGCCTAATTGATAATAAGATTAATGTACTTCTTAACACACGATATTGGGGTACTGTGCTTGATTTTGTTGATTACTATAGTAACGTGCGCGATGGCGATAGGCCAGGACAGCGACATTCTATACAAAAACTACTTTAAAGGGCCCGTCTGTTATAAAAAAAAACTACACTTTAAAGGGCCCGTCTTTTATTCCGTTGATAATGGTAATCTGAAATAGATTGTAAAGGAGCACTTGCTAGAGATCTCCATTCGTTAAAGATTCATTATGTAAGATTTAGATAAAGAGCTGGTCGTTCTTGCTGTTATAGTTCATGCAAAATGAATGTATTGAAAACTTCATTCAAATTACTTTATTCTGAGTGAAGGTATCACCGTTTGAAGTTTTTACAAGATGTGGTATACATTGTAACGGTACTTGTTATGCGAGTGTTAACAAGTGCACGTTGGATCATAAGGTTTGTCACTGTACGTGACAAGGAGTAGAGTCGCCTCGCCTGTCCATCTTCGTGTGTTCTCCCTGCACTGCTAAAGACCCCTGTACGGCCAAGCGAATTGTTCAAATAAAATTGAACCGTATGTTAGTCTCGAAATAGCCTAGTTTTTGACGAGTGGACGTTAAACCCCATCTCTCTCTCAGTGGGAGATTTTCACAATGTTATACATGTACTTGAACCAGAGATATGTTTACGAACAGGGTACAGTTTTATGTTTCTTTTCGTGACTCCAGTGATGTAGATCAAATTCCTACCTGCCTATATGGTTTAATAAGGTTTAATAATATACTTGACACTAGTATCCGATGTGGATGAGCTAATGCGTTCGCTTGATCAAGCTTGGGTTATTTTACCTGCTGTGGTCATCGACCTTTTCTCACACCTATTAGTTTACCTCTGGTTGTTTGTGTGCTTATATGTTCTTACGTTATTCAAACCATTTCTTAAATAAAAAAAAAATACCTCAAACTCGTTTTATTGTGTGGTCATGTAGTCTTAAAGCATAATATATATAAATACAACATTGCGGTTTTGTTTTTTTTTTCACACGCCTTTCTATTCTTTGTTATTTAAATAATAAAAAACGGGGATTTAGTGTTTTTGTGTTTATAATTTACGGTACATTTTTTTGTGGTAAATAAATTTGTGTAGAGTATCTTTGTTTAGTTTTAGTTCTGAACAATATTACTCATAAAACACCAAGCTGCAGGACCTCGGTTTCACTGGGTGCCCAGTTCAGCTCGGTATCAACTTTTATATCTACAAAAAAGAGGCTGTAGTCATGGCAACTTTTGTTAGGTTCTGCATTTCTTACTTATTTAAAAAATTCTTTTAATTATTTAAATAAGTCTTCTTGTTTTGATTATGGATCATAGCTATTTTACTCGCAAAAATATCATGGCTATATGGTCACATATTTTAGAGCTAACGAAGTAAGGAACCGATCCATACAGGGCAACGACTTATTGGGGAAAAGGAAATACTAGTAGTCCATGCACGGTTCGCACGGAGCCCAAATTCGCCAGAGGCTTAACTTTGTGCCCAAATTAACCTGAGGCCTAAATTCGACAGAGCCCAAATCCGCCCGGAGCCCAAATTCAATGGCCTAAATTCACGTGGTCATACTGGTTAATTTGATACCATTATATCTGGAGATGGTGCACGGCGACGAAGCGTGATTCGTCCGGGCCAAAATTCGATGGCCTAAAACATTTAGGTGTCATGCTGGTTACTTATATTCACTTGATTTGATATTTGTTTATTTGGTGCAAATACTGCAATGTCTATTTTCTGTCTTGTCCGCAGGTTTATCTTGTAGATTTTTGTTTTGCGTGTAGTGCGGTCCTCCTGCACTTACTATTAACTATTTGTCCGAGTGGTGCACGGTGACGAAGCGTGATGGGTGAACATACATACATACACACTTTGATTTTATTTATATAAATAGATTAGGAAAAAGAAACTCTGGGGTAATCAATACTTAATGATACTGGGAACATAAAAGTAGGCCGTTAAACCCTATTCATTCATTTTAGATTGTATAGTTAATCGCTGGACTTTGTACCTTATATTTTATGCATCATTAATCCTTAATCTTGTAGTGCAGGTTTACCCTTTATTTTAACGTCACTGTCTGAGAATATAATTTCTGTACCCAGAATAGGTGAATTACTTTATAATAAACCTTATGCAACCAGGTGCGTAAGCCATGCATTATAACAGCTTATTCCTTGGTCAGGTCAAGAGGTTATACAGTAACAGGTTAATTTATTTCAAATTACCTGGTGAGGTCAGCTGAGGTCACAATATATTACAAGTACACTAATATCATTGTCGTGTGGTTGTTTTGTGTAGGTGTTTGTTCTTTTTATTTTTTATTATCTACTTTTATTTTATGTATGTTTTCAATTTCCCCTAGACTATGTGTGATATTATATTATTCAAGGCAATAAAATAAATAGCAGAATGAAACCCGAAAAGGCACGGATACCTTTGATAATCAGGAATGTTTGATAATGCTGGGTTCTTGGTCAAAGGGAGGTAATAATGCCTTTATGGATGTAGACCACAATTAATTTTCCCATTGACTTCAATGTTAATTCTCGTCTCTTTGATCATTTCTTGCTACAAAATTTGTACGAGGTTGACCACTGAAATTCTGAGATACACAATGTTGAAGTAGCATACTAAAAACATGTAATTATCCGGGGTACATATTCACCGTAACCAACTTTTTAACTCTGTTTTCTATACGTCTCTAAACCATGAAAATTTACCAGAACCTGGTGAAAAATGTTAATTCATAACCTCGTCTTCGATGTAAAACCAAAATATCAACTAAAATGGCCATGCAAAAGGGAAGTAATTAAGGATGGGATAGAATTGCTTTAATTAGACAAACTATAAATCATGAGCATCCACGTGATGAAATTTAATGGTGGTCTACCGCCATCTTTATGGCTAAATCCAAGCTGTGACGTACTCAAATAAATAACTTAACACTTAATTAAAGATACATTATGGGAGATTCAGTAACGAGTTGGCAGTTCTCACTATAATAGTTAAAAACTAGATAATGTAAAGGCAATTTGGTGAAAATTTCATTCAAATTGATCAACTATGAACCGAGAACTAAGCGACTGAAATTCCCATAAGCCTCGGTCATCATTACTAAAGTCAGTACGATAAACAACATAGTCTCGATTATCCATTTAATTGTTTAATCGAGAAGGAAAGTTATGCAGTAAATCGGCTTACAAACCACTTAAGATCGCAGGCTAGCGCTGCCATCTAAAGTCGATTATGGCCTGGATAGGTTAATTAATGTCTAATTAATAATTTAGATAACATTTCGGGCCTAAAGAAAGTCCTGAAATAGGCAGATTTAGCTCTTGCATAATGTATGTTTAAAACAACAAAAACAAAATATCAATGGTTTGGATTCAATTCTAATAAAAAGAGTCCTATCAAAATATACTATAGGTGGCACTGGTTTGTTTATATCATCATATCTGTGTAAATACTGATGGAAATGAACCATGTTTGGACTGATAGTCCTTTTAGAGATTCAACTATCACAATATTGTAGTTTGCTAGGGATTCAAAATCCCTCAAAGAATGATCAGGGACTTTAAACATCAGTTTTGTCTATTCCAACTAGGGGGGTTGGATGGCCGAATGGTTTGCATGTGCGCGTTGTATCATAAGGTCTGTCATTGAGTCATCTGGCGTGGTTTTGATTCCCCGGTTGTACATGACAAGGAGTAGGGTCACCTGTCCAACCTCGTAGGTTTTCTCCTCCGGTTTGCTCCCACTGCTAAAGACCCCTACGCCCCAGTGAATTATTGAAATAAAATTTAACCATATGTTAGTCCCAAAATTACCTAGTTTGTGTCGAGTGGACATTAAACCCCATTTCTATCTCTCTCTCTAATTCCAACTACAATATCAAATCTTAATAATTTGCAAAACATTACATAATGTAGTTACCTTAAGATTTAAACATCAGGTTTTGTTTATTCCAACTACCATATCAAATCTTAAAAACTGTTGAATAAGTTGCAGAACATTACATAATGTGATTATTTTAATATTTAAAGATTCCAGACACCCATTTGGCCTTGAAGAACTACAGTCCTTGATTTCACCACGAGGATTCAAACACAAATTTTCATCAGAGCCTAATATAGTTTGTAACTTTTGGATATATTCACGTTTATTAGTGGAGGTATTCAAGCATAAATTCGTATGGAGGGCTTCTGGGATACACAATAAGACATCGCTCAGAATTTTACAAAGCATGCCAGACTGTTGATCGGTGAAATTCTTTGATGACTCTTTAAGAAATTTGGCCATCTGAAATTCAAAATATCCCCCACCAGAAATCAGAAAGAGTTTTTGAGAGTTATCATTAGTTTCAAGGGTGACAAGCCTGTTAATTTGATCTGATTGACCAACTTTTAAATTTTCTTGTAACAAATGTTCACTGTCTAAAGTTCCATTTTTTTCTACCTTTGGGCTTGTTTCACGCATAAATAATTTTCTTGGATAACCGTTATTGGTTCCATTTGAAGCTGTTTGCAATGTTTTTAACGTTTTATAAAATAGGGAAGATAATTCATACACCAGTCCATCTGTCGGTGCACAGAGCAGAAATGTTTTTATGAGAGGGTTTTTAAACGTCAAATTTATAAAATACTTTCCATAATAATTCACTCTCTCGTATATAGTCTCTCCTATTGAAACATCTGTAATATCTTCATAAATACTGGATATCGATGGACAACTGGTTAATGTTTCTAAAAATATTATGTCTTCGTCATCCAGGTAACCAATAACACCGATTTTATATTTGTTACATAAGGATATCACATATGGGGGAACTTTCTGATTACAAAAGATTAGTCGAATTTCGTCATTGGACAATTTTTTGAGAAAAATGTCAGCTGCCTTGATTCTCTCCATAAAACAGGAATCTAAATCTGTATCCATGGAAACATTTATAATTTCATCTGATTTTTCTTCAGTGTTTCCTTCAATAGAGTTCTGTAGAATCACAAATTTAAGATTTTTTTCTGAGGTGTCATGAGGTCGAACAGTAAAGTCTCGAAGTAAGATTCCTGGTATTATCTTCGACTTTGAATAAGACTGCCTGCATTTAATATGGAGCAAATCAAAATAGTCGACATAGAAATTAATTAAATCTAAAATATCTATGAAATCGAAAGACTTGTTGTTAATGGCTTCAATAATCATTTCTGAGAACAGTTGACTTTGTTTTTTACTAAAATGAGTTGATAAAGTTGTTGTAATAACAGACTTGAATAGATATGAAATATCTGATAATTTGGAATCTGAATCCAGAAAAAATGATTTCAATGCTAATGTCTTAAAACAGTTTGATAATGTTTCTTCTATAAAAAGGGGAATTTGTCTGGAAATCTTCAAACTAAGGTTTTCATAATCTAAAGAAATTTTGACTAAACACTGCATGAATGTGGATAGATACAAAAGAAATGTCTTGACACCATCGCCATGGTTACTGTGCTGTTTTTCACAAGCTTCAACTATGACCTTAGCAACAGGATGTCCGATATTTAATGATCTGAGAATCTGGAATCCATCCGATGTGATCATGATTTTACCTGTGGAGGTGGAAAGAAGAGTCTGACGACATCTTGGTCCAAATGATTTACAAATTATCTTTGAAAGAGCTCCTGTTATATCAACCAGATCTTTCAGTTTGATTTTATTTCCTTGTGTTGTCATTCTTTCCTTTTATATCTTCATCACTAATTAATCTTGTTAAATTTATTTCCCTTGATTACTGAAAAAGAATGACAATATAAAAAGTTTAGGTATAAGTTTGCCCCCCCCCCCCAACCATTTCCAGTCTTGTCCTATGAATAAGCTACGTCCAATTCACTTTCTTTTGACTACGAATTAATTTAACACCCCTCCCACAGCACTGGATCTCCTTAGATAAAAGAAACCCTCATTTCTCAGCTCTGTGTGTCTCGAAATAAGAGATGGTTCTACCGTATATAGTTCCTTCAATAAGCCAAACTGTCAATTTTTTCTTCCAAAAATAAAACTGATTGATTATTGTTATTTATTACATTTCTGCCACATCCATTTACATGTACAAATAAACATATAATCCTAATTGACACGGGTACAAATAATCTCTTTTAAATTGAAGCGTTAATAAAAGCTTCCTTTTCCCGACATTTTAAAACAGAATAGGTTTGACATCTTAAATTAGAATGCTATAGTAAAAGTTTAACTGACAGATTTTAAATATATGTCGTTCACAACAGCCAATCAAAATATGCAACTTGGATAATTTAAAATTACAAGTAGAGAACCTTTATGAGGGGCACATGACTAATTTAATATACTGAAACTATGAATGGCTGTATCAATTCTGTTAAAAACACCACTTGTTTTTTTATTTTTTATAAACAATATTTGCATATAAACGAAAGTTGTTTCATTACATTTCTAAGATGTTGCATACATTAACGTTAACATACATCATATACACTGAAAACTAAAAGAAAATGTAATGTTGTATTGGATTCGGATTAGGAAAATGTATGGGTGTAATAATGGATTTAATATTGGCTGAATATATGACTCTCCAAGAATTATAACTAAAAGAAAAGGGATTTAAGGAACTGCTATAAACAATCCATCAAAATCCTTGACAGGTCATACAGGTGCTCAGGGGATATAAATTTATTATATTTATAATATAAGCAACTAACTCAACTGAAAGTGGTGAAAGCTCAAAACAGTCTTTCAAATTTTCTATTATCTAACCAATTTGTACATTTTATTTGTTTTGTGTTCTCTTATATTTTTCTACTTCTACCAGGGCAGGTAGTGTCCACAATCATAGTTGATCATTTTGACACATATATAATTGTCTGTGTTGTACATCAATTTTGATTGATCTGACTAGACCAATACTTTTTTAGATCTAAAATGAGATAGAAAATCCGATAAAATTGTTAATACAAGAACATTCAAGCCACAACCTATTTGTTTACATATCAAATACCAATTTTAACTCAAACACAAGAGAGCATCTTTAAATTGTCTCCCTTCAATAGATTTGACGCAATGGCTATGAGCATGCGCTGACGAATATTTCCGGTAAGAAAATCCGGGAAATACAAAAATGGCGGCTTGAAATATTTTCGATTAATTTTACTGGGTTTCACTTGAATAATTGCCATCAAATCACCAAATTTCATTTCGTCTTTTGCAACATAATGCAATGGAGAAAGACGACTTGAAAGAGTTAGAAAGTGAGTCAGTGGATTTTGTTGGGGAATCAGAGTTTTCGATCAGACCATAAAAATAAAAGTATTTCATCAAAATCTTGTAGTTATTACTGACTACTGTAAAGTTGTACGTACGGTACTTGATTTTGATTGATTGATTCACAATTAAATCAATGAAACAGAAAGTTTAAAATTCTAAACGCACACAAAAAATTAAATTATTTCTATGGCACTCATTAAAAGACATGTTGATACTACCCATTAACACCACACACTCCCCGATATTATACCATAATAATTGATAATAGAATCTGATCAACTGTGTAGACGTGGTGTACAGCATCTGATTCTGAATAATGGAAATACTGAATCAAATACTGAACCCGGTATTAGCAAATACCCCCAATTGGCACTGGCCATTACTACCAAACAGTATCCCCACCAGCTCTCCCTTGTCACTAATGTCAGTGATACAGGACGGAGGGCCTGACAAGGACAGCTGTCTAGTCGTTCGGATGGGATGAAAAAACCGAGGTCCCGTGTACACATTGGCGTGCATCTACAAGATCTCTTGACAGTTAGAATTCGATATAAGAGTAGTCCGCTGTCCGGGCAAAATTTCCCTCATAGTTATAGCACCCTGTATGGCGTATGCCCGTCTTCATTAGCCCAGTCGGAGCAGAACAGTAGGACGTTAAACCCCATTTCATTTCAGTAACCCCACCACCACTTACCAACAATATTAATTATTGGAAACTTTATTGATAAAAGGTGGTATATCAAATGGCAAAACATTGCAATAAATAGTATATTTTCTGCAAACTAATGTAGGACTACCGTACATCTATTGTTCGTTTCTGGTGCTGACCTAGAAAGTTCAATGCGATTTTCCAGTGTGGTTTCTCCTTGTCAGTGGTGCAGGATGGAGGGCCTGACAAGGATAGTTGTTAGTCATTCGGATGGGATGGAAAATGAGGCCCTGTGTACACATTGTATGTAGTACACATAAAAGATCACCTGGCAGTTGGAATTCGATGTAAGAGTAGGCGCCGCTGTCCAGGCAAAATTTCTGTCATCATAGCAACAGCAGGGTGTTAAACTTCATTTCATTTTCGTTATGGAAATAATTGTACTGGTTTTTCATTTTTGGTGTTGGGTCATTTTTGGGCGATATTGGGTCATTATTTTGTAGCAATGCTAATAGATTTGTTTTTGGTGGTATTAGATATGTGTACATGTAATCAAGGGAGATAACAGATAACTAGAATTGGTTGCCATCTCATCGACCATCACATTTGCAGTAGTAGTTCATTTACAAGGTTTTAAACGAAATAGCTCATACCTATTAATATTTTAATTGAAGTATTCTGTCAGGCAGTATGTAATAATATTGTATTTGTATAGAATAAATCATTTTGTTGTTTATTAGAGTAAACAGACTCATGCAAAGCCTTGAAATACGTACGGTACCTTGAACTTTTGCAGAGAAGCTTTCTTTTATGGTCATATGTGCAAAATATTTCACATATATATGTAAAAGTACAAAGAAACTTTTATCATGTGAATTATTTTTTTTACAGACCTCAGGAAAAGTAAGAAGAAAGCCGAGAAAAGGAATGATCTAAAAGAAGTCGCTACATTAAGTAATTACATTGGTAAAATATTAGCTGATTATGGTGAGTGTTGTTTTAAACTTTTTTTATTATAATTAACATGTCTCTTGTGGATGGGTGTGGAGGTGGTTCAGTGAGTAATAGATTTTCCGGCACGGTCTGGCCTTTTCAGTGGTGCAGGATAGATGCCCTGGTCAAGGAACAGCATCTAGTTGTTCAACTGGGACAAGAAAAAAAAAGGTCCTAAGGCTAAGTACACATTGGCGTGCACGTACGTGTACATGTAAAAGAACCTCTAACATTTGGAATTGGAAATTAAGAGTAGTCTGTAGTGTGCTATCTGGACAAATTTCTCTCATAGCACACAGCATGGTGTATGCTCATCTTCATTAGACCTGATGTAACAGAAAATTAGGTCGTTGAACCGTTCTAGTATAAACATTCAAGAATAATTATTCATATTGGGCCAATAATAATGAAATCTAGGTTTACATTATATCATGTGTAATTCAAGGGAAATTAACATCCCTACAATCTGTGCTTACTATTAAATATAAGTTAACAAAGAAATACATCACATTTTCTGTCAATTTTGCAAAGTTCCATGAAACTAAAATTACATTGTTTACAAGTCTGAATATGCTCTAATTGCTGTATCAATTGAATATTAAAAACATGGAATCGGCAGTATTTATATCAAATACGGTAGTTCTTTAAAGTGGATTTAATTCATAAGTAGCTCAATGGTTTTCTCAGTTTTTGATTGGGTTTGCAGGAGAATATGAAGATGCTATCACAGAACATGAAACAGAAAGATCCATTAGTGAAACATTACATGATGTCATTGGAGAAGCTGTGGCATGTCGTAAGATTGGAGAATGTTACTGCTCCATGGGGCAGTACGATAAAGCCATCAGTTTACAAACACGACATCTTGACTTAGCCAAGTCGTGTGATGATATACTAGAAGAACAGAGAGCTTGGGCGACAATTGGTCGAACCTACCTATGTCAGGCAGAAGCAACACAAAGTCGAGGTCCTCAGTTGGAGATATTAAAGAAAGCCGAAGACAGTCTGTTAAAAAGTTTAGAAGTTTGTGAAAGATTAAAACCAACAACTAAAGTAGAAAGTTACATGGAGATGAAGGAAAGATTATTCCTTAATATGGGTCAGATTAATGAATATTATGTAAAATACTATGTTATATTCTACGTATATGCATGTGGCATGTTTATTGAAGCATAAATACTCTTATCCCCCTATATATTGGGGTACTTGATCTTTCTAATAAGACAGTTATACCATATTACTCACATTCTATAATTCATATAAGGCCTGTTAAGCTTTTATCCTGGGCTGAACACAGTTAAGGGATCGATATTGAAATGAGTTCTGTTCCTCCATCCTTACATCCCAGTATTCTCACGTCTGTTATTGAGTCAAGAGGCGTGGTTACGATTCCCCGCTTGTACGTGACAAGGTGTAGGGTCGCCTGTCGATCCTTGTGGGTTTTCTCGGGGGTTCTCAGGTTTCCTCCTACTGCTAAAGATCCCTATGCGCAGGAAAATTATTGAAATTCAATTGAACCATGTGTTACTTTTGAAATGACCTAGTTTATGTCGAGTGGACGTTAAACCCCATTTCTCCCTCTCTCTGGATGAGCATACTGTATCTTATAAATAGTTCAAGATATTTTGATGACCAAGTCTTCTTACATATTATCCATTAAAAAATGTTATTCAATCTATGACCAAAGTTACGGTTGCCTTTGTCCAAATAGTTATCATTAACATTTATAGATATTGAATGCTTGAAACGTATTAGTGACACAAATATAATTCATATTCGCCTATATATTTAATTTTTGTTTTCTCAACAGGATTAGTATATGATGGTAGAGGTGAAGTTAAAAGTAGTGCTGAATATTTCAAACGAGCCATTTCTATAGCCCAGTAAGTTTTATAAAACATTATTTACAAATAGAATATCTAGTTATCAAGTAAACACTTAGTGATATGTATATGATCATATATTTAAAAAAACAACAACTTTATTGTTCTCGGGTACAGCTGTGTCGCCCATTTTGATTTCTGACCATGGCACCAGGAGATAAGGGTATGCCGCTCTAAGCATGGGATTTCTGTTTTTCCTTGGAACATTTCTGACCAGATGTGCACACATGCAAAATGTTTTTAATAATATAGTAGTCACTTTTGGAAAGTTTAATGTTATTGAGTTTTTACTTATAAAGTGTATTTTGTAATTGTAGAAAATATCGACTGTACCATGATGTATATCGCTGTCAGAATGCTCTGTGTAATATGTATCAAAAATGTGGTAATATGAGTCAGGCTTTACGAGCGCTAGATGATGCTCAGAAAAATGCAGTGAAACTAAAAGATAAACATCTGGAGAGTGATTGTCTTTTACAGAAAGCTCAGGTTAGTCTCTCTGGAAACAATCAGGAAAGTTCTGTGCCAATCGTGGATAATTGAATTTAATCTCTATTTTATGGCCTTCTTTTCAAGAGGTATTGAAACCATGGTGGCTGGATGAGTATTGTGCAGACTCACTAAACCAGCCAAACTTCAATCCCAGTGTTCTACCATTGGCAGCATGTTAAAGATTCTGTGACAGTTGAAAATCCAAATAAAGAGTAGACCGTAACAGCGCTGTCAGTACAACTTCTTCATTTTCTCAGTTTGTGCATAAAAGCCAGAAGTTAAACAACATTTCATTTATCTATCTGTGAATTTTGTTCCAGATTCACAATTTAAAAGAGCATTTATTTTGTCATATCAAAGGTGAATATTATAGTTTTTTTAATAACACCACCAAATTTTTATAACCAGATTGTGATCATTTCCAATGTTATTGGTCAGACTATTGGTATTTACCGAATGTTGTCTTTTCTAGCTTCAGATTAAAATAGGTGATTATGAAACGGCTAAAAATAGTTTAAAGAAAGCCAAGAAACTTGGATTACCTCAAGAACAAGATGTTCAACAGTTATATAAACTATATAAAGCAGGTACGATTGATTACACATCAACTTTATATTCACCTTAAGAAATTTGCATTTGTCTCAAATGTCTTTCTAGATATGCCAATGACCTCTGTGAGCAAATCAATCTGATTAAAATACAGATCTATATTTCGTTTAGTTTTTTATACGCCCACATTGAAATGTGGTTGTATATTGTCGTCGGTCCGGTGTCCACAATTGCTTGTGGACGCTCTAGAGGCTAAAGTTAATATCTGATTGACTTTAAATTTATACACAGTGTTTAAGGTCTTGAGACGAAGAAGCCTATTGATTTTCAGCGATTTTCGATAATTACTGCCAGAGTTATGGCCCTTGATCACTTTGAAAAATCTTGTGGACGCTCTAGAGGCCAAAGTTAATATCCAATTGACCTTAAATTTATACACAGTGTTTGAGGTCATGAGACGAAGAAGCCTATTGATTTTCAGCGATTTCCAATATTTGCTGCCAGAGTTATGGCCCTTGATCACTTTGAAAAATCTTGTGGACGCTCTAGAGGCCAAAGTTAATATCCGATTGACTTTCAATTTATACACAGTGTTTAAGGTCATGAGACGAAGAAGCCTATTGATTTTCAGCGATTTCCGATAATTACTGCCAGTGTTATGGCCCTTGATCACTTCAAAAAATCTTGTGGATGCTCTAGAGGCTAAAGTTAATATCCGATTGAGTTTAAATTTATACACAGTGTTTGAGGTCATGAGACGAAGATTCCTATTGATTTTCAACGATTTCCGATAATTACTGCCAAAGTTATGGCCCTTGATCACTTTGCAAAATCTTGTGATGCTCTAAAGGCTGATTGACTTCAGATTGATACACAGAGTTTAAGATCTTGAGACGAACAAGTATATTGATTTTCAATGAATTTTTATGACTTGAACAGTTAAATCCATGATATTAAAAGCTTTGCATACAAAACGTTAACATGGGGCAGAACTTTATAAAAACCAAACAAATTCTAATAGTTTTCTGATAATTACTTCGTGAGTTGTTGCTCTTAATCAGATTTTAGTGTATTATAAATGTTTCATTACTGAAAAAAGTAAAAATATGCGACAACTCTTGTTGACTGCCCGGACGATTTAGTTGCTGTGGGCGTATGTTTCGTTGCCTGGCAACCTATCTTTTATACTTTCGATGGCCTACACTACATGAAGATCTGACAAGTTGTACTGGAAGGTCGCGTCAGAGGTTGTACGAGTGGCTTTTGACCCTATGACATCAGACATTCATTAATCAAACAGTGTTGACGTTTCTAGTGGTTTACCCACAGTTCCGTGCATCACACGCCAAGAAGTCACTGTAACATTGGCTAATCCCTTACCCCTTCCAAAACGCAGTTTATATAACAACTCTTCCAGACTCTAGTGTGATACAGACAAATAAAACGAAATTTGAACTATAAAAAACGAAACAAAATAGGATCTGTGTTTTAATCAGATTGTGTAAATATTTTGCCTTGGCTGCCTTGAGCCCATTTCATTTGCTCCTGATGATATTTGGACCAGACTTTGGTCCCCAAACGCTGCTCATCTTGTTCTTGGGGTGAGACGATCTTCGAAAAGGCCTAAGGCTCCACCAATTTAAGTACAATCGATATGAAACTTGGGATGATTGTTCCTTTGACAAGTAGTAAGATTTGGATTTCAAGAATTGTTTTCTTCTTTAATGTTGAAAAGAAATAATAAATGTCTAATTTCTTGTCAATTATTTATTTAACTTTTTCTGCAGCAACTAAAATGGAAGAATCCAGTCAGGATTTGGAAACAGCTGTAGATGAAAAATGTCGAATGAAACTTTACGAAACTCTGGCTGATTGTTCTGTAGATGCTAATAACTATAAACAAGCTCTGGATTATTATCATAAAATGGTAGGTTCAGGTTTGCAGGTATTTAAGAGTGTGTATGAAATGGGTTTTAATGTCCTACATTTTGCACTAGCCTGTTCAATGAGAGAGGGGGGGGGGAGAGAGTAACGTCCACTTGACACAAACTAGTTCATTTCAGGAATAACATGGTTCAATTTTATTTTACTAATTCGTTTGTGCATATGGGTCTTTAGCTGTGACAGAAAACTTGAGCACACAGATAAAACCCACTGGGTTGAACAGACGACCCTACTCCTTGTCACATACAACCGGGGGCTTGAAACCACGCCAGTTGACTCAGTTGACAGATCTTATGATGGAACGCGTGCACGCTAACCATTTGGCTATCCATCTCCCACTCCAATGAAGGGAACCTGTGTATAGGGAATTTTGCCCAGTCGGCTTAGCTGCGGACTAGAATTATTTTAAATTCATTTTTATGCACCCTATGAACAACAAGATACTGTTTCTTTAACAGGCCCTCTGTCCAGCACCACTGACAAGGGAAACCATATTGGAATTCTCATCCAACAGCGGGATCCATTTACAGATTCCCTGGTTAGTGGGTCAGTGACGTATTAACTGAGCCATTTACCATTGTTTACAGAATATTCTAAAGATACATTATTCAAGAGCTAAATTTGACTATTGTAGGTCCGTCTTTAGGCCTTAAATGTTATAAATTTTTGATTAGACATTTATATACTTACTAAACGCGTAATCAACTCTCGATGCCATCGGATGCTCGAGATTTTAACTAGATTAGAACTCTTGTACTCAAGAAAAACAAGATTTAATCCTGGTAAAATGGGTGTCGATTTCCAGATTGTTTTTGTGTATTTCTAAGCGTTTTTATACACCCATATTTCAAATAGGAAATTTTTTTTGTCAACTCTGTCTGTCCATTGGTCCACCCACACCTTTCTACAATTCAGGTCACTTTTTGAGATCTGCACATCGATTTTTCACTATGTTTGTATATGCTTTACAGGTCAAGGTTTTGAGATTTATTTTTTTCGAACTTGCTAGAATTGTTTGTGTGGTCTTAAGTAGGATGGGGGAACCCTATCAAAATGCATAGTCGTGGTTGCTTGTAGGGGACGTGAATTTGTTGCCTATATATGTTTCTAGCTGCTTACATTTACTTTTCTTGGTTTTTATTTTTAGCTTAAATGTGCAACAGATCTGGGTTTAGCAGATGAAGAAATGGTACCAATATATGTATCATTAGCTCAAACATACTGTGATGATAAACAATATACACAAGCTATTACATACTATAAACAGGAATTAACTTGTCATACTAATAATCTAGAACAGGTAATTATACTCATTTTTGAAAATAAAAAAATATCCTATTGTTCAATATACTATAAGATATTTTTTTTAAAGATGGGGGGGGGGGGGGAGAAATTAGATTCTTAAAAATTGAGGTGAGTGGGTCTTGAAGAATTGGATTCTGTCATACTAATAATCTACATAATTTGCATGCTATGTTGTGAACAGTGTCTAGTCGTTTGGATGTTGCAAAAAACTTGGGGGTTGGATGGCTGAATGGTTAGCACGTGCATGCTCTATCATACGGCCTGTCATTGTGTCAACTGGCGTGGTTTCGAATCCCCGGTTGTATGTGACAAGGAGTAGGGTCGCCTGTCCAACCTCATGGGTTTTCTCCGGGTCCTCTGGTTTCCTCCCACTGCTAAAGACCCCTAGGTGCAAGTGAATTATTGAAATAAAATTAAACCATATGTTAGTCCCCAAATGACCTAGTTTGTGTCGAGTGGACGTTAAACCCCATCTCTCTCTCTCTCTCTCTCTCTCTCTCTCTCTCTCTCTCTCTCTCTGCAAAAAACTGAGGTACATAAAAGAACCTCTGACACTTGGAATTGGAAATAAGAATAGGCTGTAGTCGCGCGTAGTGCCACAGCCCGCGCAAAATTCCACTCATAGCACATTGTGTGGTGCATGCCTGTCTTCATTAGCCCAGTCTGTGCAGAAAAGTAGGATGTTAAACCCTATTCCATTCCTTTATTAAAGGGGCATTAGATAAGATTAGATAAAGAGCTGACAATTCTCGCTATAATAGTTAAAACATAGATAAAGAAAACAGAAAATGCTGAAAATGTTTCTGTATGAGACAGGCAATATACTAAAACTGTTTGAATTTTCTCACAGAAAAATAGTGGAATTACAGTACACCATTAAGTATACATAAAGATTATCTTGTAATGTCTATATGTATAGATTTATAAAGTTTGTTGATAATTATTGTAGACTTGTAGAACATGGTTAAATATAGCTGAAGCAGAAGAACATCTAAATCTAGGCTATAATAAAATCAGTAAATCTTACTTAGCAGCTTTTGAAGCAGCACGAAAAACTAAACATAGAAAATTACAGGTAAGTAGTAGAAATTGAGGTGTGTGTAAGGTTCATTCATTAAGTACAACTAGGTCATTTGGGAGTAAAATATGGTACAAGAATAGAGATAAACCGATCATTGGATACAAATTCGGCCGATTATAGAACTTTAGACTTGCATAAATGAGAAACCTTATGATCGAAAGCACACACATCAGGTCAATCGGTCACCCACCAGCAACCATATTTGAGGGTTAATCAATAATCAACATTAAAGGAGCTAAATCGCTATTCTTTGTCAGCTAGAAATGGGTCGCAACACATATAATAATGTAATATGAATGTATATAAACTGATTTATATTCAATCGTTTCTGTTTTTACTCCTTGGTGTCTGGTTATTGCAGTCTACAATGTTGAGTTAAATTGACCAATAAGTTGTGTTTGCAATGTCAGAGACTGTGGATGATATTGAGTTTAAGACTTGCCCCCTTTAAATCAACATGTGTAAATATTTTAATATAGTGGGTTGTAAATCATTTGTTTCTATTGGTTTGATCAGGTTCAGGTATTGAAGTCATTAGCTGAAGTACAAAAACATTTTAAACAGAAAGAACACCTGATTGTTACAGAGAAGAAATTAGATACTTTCTTTAAAAAGTACGAGAATGAACTGGTCGATCTATCAGATGAAGAAAGTCAACCTACAGAAACACTAGATGATGATGATGTCATTATATCAGATTTATCAGAATCGGGTAACACATAATTAATACATTGGTCTAGCAATATTATTTTAACATCTTTTATTTCATTCATGGAAAATTAATCCCTTACTAAATAGTGTGTGTAAAAATATTAAACATTAATAGTCAGTTGTCTGAGCCCTATCAAACTAACCATTGGTTAGCTCCCTTTTATGGTTAGATCAGAGTTACATCCCTTATGTAGTTTTGATTGTCGAAGATATAACTGAGATTGCTGAGTTATTGTAAAACCTGTCATCTGCTTGTATGTCTAAATAAACCTTACTATATTTGTAGTCCTTCATATAAACGAAATGAAATCTAATGGGGTTTATTGTCCTACACTTCTGCACCGACTGGGCTAATGAAGACAGTCTATGTAGTGTGCTAAGAGGGAAATTTTGTCAGTACAGTGGTGCTACAGGTTCTACTATTATTTTGAATTCAAACTGTCAAAGGATCTTTTACGTGCATGCCAATGTGTACATCGGACCTCGGTTTTCTGTTCCATCCAAACGACTAGCCACGGTCCTTGCCCGTTCCTCCATCTACACCAATGACAAGGTGAAACCACACTGGAAAATCCCTAAGAACTTTCTCGGCCTCCGTCATATAGACACATCTGATATAGAAAACAAGATGTATATTACAGTGTGTTTACAGGTTTCACCATTAGTTGTCAATTGATGATATAATGGGTTTTTTTATTTATATAAAAGATGAAAAAAAAGTTGTAATAGCAATATCCAATTTATGTCAATATATTAAATTATTTATTATAGAACCCGAAGAGGAAGACACAAATCAAGAAACAAGAACCAGATGTTCACGAAAAACTAATTCAAAAGCAAAGGTTAAATTGTAATATCAATATCAAAAGTACAACAGGCTTGTTCATAAATCACTTTTATAGGAATTGGATCTTTTGCTAAATAGAAATATTTTAGATTGAATATGGAAACAATGTTGACATTGTGATGATATATACACTGGAACTCTGAGCTAACATTAAGAGAATTTTGCTATAATGACCATCCACTGTATTTACTTATAAATGTCCTTTTGTTTTTTTGTTATACAGGTAAATGAGAAAGGAGAAACACCATTACATAGAGCTTGTATAGCAGGACATATCAAAAAAGTTAAAAAACTCATAGAACAGGTAAGCAGTCAACCAAAACAGTGATTTGATCTGGTGGCAATACCCCCCACGTTTTTTGTATATCCCACTTCTGAAATCCTAGTATAGTTATTTTTTGTGCCGTTACACTGTAAGGAATGATTGGTGTTGTACACTAAGCAGAGTATACTTAGCCTCTGGTAGCTCTCCTGACAAGTAAAACAAATTGGCCGTATTATTGGAGGGTCTGGCAAGGACAGTGTCCAGTCATTCGGATGGGACGAAACACCAAGGTCATCTGTATATGTTGGCATGGACTTAAAAGAAACCCTTGACAGTTGGAATTTGATATAAGAGTAGGCTGTTATGCCTATGTCTGGGCATAAATTCCCTCATAGAACAAATGGCATATGCCTGTCTTTATTAGCCCAGAGAGTGCAGAACAGTAGCCCGCTAAACCCTCATTTCATTTCATTTATTTATTATCTTTATTTTTAGGGTCATCCTGTAAACCCAAGAGATTTCTGTGGATGGATTCCATTACACGAAGCAGCTAATCACGACTTTTATGACATAGTAGAATATCTATTAAATCATGGAGCACATGTTAATGATCGTGGTGGAGCTAGTTGTGGTGGAGTTACTCCCCTTATCGATGCTTCTAATTGTGGTAATATGGAAATCGTAGAACTCTTGGTTAATAAGGGAGCTAATAAATTAGCCAAAGATGATGAGGTAGGTAGAAGTAATTTCTGATTTAAGTCACTGATTTCGATCCTGCCGTTTTCAGACAATAACTAAATTTTCACTGGTTAATCTACACTAAAATCAATCTGATTAAAATACAGATCTATATATCACTTCGTTTTTATACTTTCAATGGCCTACACTACATGAAGATCTAGTGGAAGATCGCATCATGATCGTACCAGCGGCTTTTGACCCTATGATGTCAGACATTGATTAATCAATCGGTGTTGATGTTTCTAGTGGTTTACCCACAGTTCCAGGCATTGCATGCCAAGAACTCGCCGTAACAGACCGTTTTATTGGCTAATTCCTCACTTCAACCAGAACACGTGTTATATAACAACTCTTTCAAATCCTAGTGTTGCGAAGACAAGTAAAACAAAATTTTGAACTATTAGAAACGAAACAAAATAGGATCTGTGTTTTAATTAGATTACACTAAAGTGTACTTCAATTAAGATTTAATTCAGAAACAAATCCAAAAGATAAAGTTCCGATCCCGACTTGGATTCAGTTAGATTAGAAAGAGGTCCATCAAAAGAGTGTACACAATGCTTATAGATGGTGCTGGCTTGTTTATATTATATGTAGAGATTGCTGAATGTTGTAAAATTATCAGTTCATCGTATCTATGTAATTATTGAATGGAATTTAACCATTTTTTGATTGACAAGCCTTGATGTCTTTGATGTCACATTGTAGTGAATCATGTGGGCAACTTGTGTTATTGGCGGATAAACAATGGCTTTAAAGCCCAGCCCATACCGCCGCTACTTGCCCAGACTCTACCCAACACAACGTTATGTCTCAGATAATCAGTGCAGTGTGGACAGTCCCACGACCACGATTTAATCGATTTCCGTCGCGTCATGGCCCGTCGGCCCAATTGAACATGTTCAATCGTAGTTGGTTGCAGTCAACTTCAGCGGCATCTTGGCAAAATATAATGTCACTTTTATGCTTCCGGTTTACTGTTGGAATCACTCACTAGAGGGAAGTGGCGTAACTCACGACGTATAATCTGTGAGAGTCGGGCCTGTGTGGACTGGTACCGTCGTAGGCAAGTGAAGTAAAGGCGCGACCCGATTTTTTTTTACAACTACCCAAGACGCCGAGTCCTGTCGGCTTGTGTGTAGTCGTAGCGGTATGGGCCGGGCTTAAGTTTACATAAGGAAGATTCACTTTACTGTAAATATTGTAATTTATTCTGTGGATAATGTTGATATGTGCCAATAATTACAGGGTCAGACAGCATTAGATTGTTTAAATGACTGGTATAATAGATGTGAAGATACATTAAGTGGTGAATTAAAGAAACAATATGTAAATACAGTCAAATTATTACAAAATACAGGTATATATAGTAAAAAATTTTTATGAGACCAGGAGTAGCAGATTATTGTCCTTCAATAATCATCACATTCCAATACAGTTTGATAACACATCCTCATTATGAGTTTAAAATTAGAGAGAAGAAAGAAAAAAAATGAAATTTGCAATTTCTCTGTATTTTAATCAGATTTAAATGGAAAGTTATTCTTCAGTTATTATTTTAACTCTTTGTTCAGCCATTCAGAACTTTTATTTATCTTCTTCATTACTCACTACAGAAAGAATACCCTAGAATGGGCAAACTAAGTTAGTGACAATATCAACCAATAGTAAATTGTCATTATGTGGGGCCATGTAACTGGTCAATACACACTAGTTAAATTTTATTATACTGTTATTAGACTAGGCTCTAGTAGAAATGGGCATACGAAGCTGGTCCCCAAACAAAGGGTTGAGATTTCTTTTTATCAGAACAATTATGAAATTTCAAGCACCACACCTTGTCATTGCACCTCCAGATTTAACTTATAACACTTTAATGTATTCACATAGGATCAACAAGAAAAACTCTTCCAAACAATAGAAATACTACAGTAGATACATTTATCCAGTCCTCAGACGATGAAGATCTTCCAGACTTGTCAATGTCAAAGAAGGCCAAAAGACTAGCATTGTTGAAGTGAGTCCCAGCTATTTTCTAAAATTTATGCATATGATCCTGAAATTTGGTTTTCTTCAATGCAGGGACGGCCCCCTTATTCTGGCACTGTAAGGGTCCCCCACTCCTTTTCTCTCTCTTTCCCCCCCACCCCCTTTTGGTGAGAGAAATTATTGGTAAAACTGGCTGTAATTGGTGCTTTCTAGAGTATATCCTGATGATTCTAGCTCATGCACAAATTTAGCTTTTGGCAATCTTACCACCTTAATAAAAATGACATTAAATTCAATATTAAAAATGACGTAAATTCAAGAACAAAAATGACGTTTAATTCAAGAATAAAAATGACGTTAAATTCAAGAATAAAAATGACGTAGATTCAAGAATAAAAATGATCCAATATTATTTTTTTAATAAATATGACCAAAATGTTGTTTCACATCTTATCAAATAACTTTGAGTAAAAATGTTCTTTATAAACATAATACAAAAATATACAGAGAATTTGTTAGATGGTCTATTTTATTGTATTTTTTGTAGGAAAACACCCAGACCATTAATAGAAGTAGATAGTGAACAAGATAGGTGAGTTTTTATATCTTGTCTGCTATTTAATTATAAAATACTCTCATCTTTTAGGCTGGTGGCCACTCCCTCCCACTATCTCATAAATTATTTGGCCTACACTGTATAGAGATTGGAGAACATCAAAACCAGACAGTTCCAATTTTGCTGTATACAAGGCTCTACACAGCATTTTGAACTTACTTGTGCAAACATAAGTAAATTTTCAAAACCACTAGCCAAACAAAATTTTCAGTTGCCAAGTCTGAAGATTAGAATAATTTGTCGTATGATATAGCTAAATTATATTGTGAACATACATAACACTTCAACTTGTCGTCCTATAATAATAATAAAAGATGTTTTAAACATTTTATTCCGACTGGGACTCACTGCGAGATGAAGACGGCAAAGCTTGTAATTTTGCTTGTTTGGGTTGTGTAGCGTCAGTAGCATGACTATCATCATTTTTCCGCAACTGAGACTCACTGCGAGACGAAGTTACTTTACTAGTAAAGTAAGACGATATAGGTTTGATTCGTCTGCTAGCCATGCTGTCAGCTGTCTCAACTTCCGATAAATACAGCGCATGCGCAGAGGACAATGAGATTGACCCAATTTCAAACCAGGAAAGAAACAAGAGTGACAGTTGACCGGGATCATTGCTGATTACGTTATCTTTACAGAGAAAAGTTCAGATAGCTATAGTGTTAATTGGGGACTTCAAGATATATGTTCACTCGGCAGAAACCTAGCATTTATAAATATCTGGTCGCCATTGTCAAAATTCACTCGCAAATGCGAGTGTTTCAGTCGCATTTTAGAGCCTTGGCTGTATATCTTTGATTATCTCTGTGAATTAATGTAACATTATATTCCTAAAAGACATTTGAGGATCGGCTATTGGTACCAAAGTGGAAGCTTGCAACCTTTAGGCATAAAGCTTCTGCTGCTGAAAGAGGGAATTTGAACTGTGTTTTGTGTCTTCTATGTCAATCTTCTAATCTTTTTCTAAACACCCCTTTTTTTAAAATTCATCATAATTTTAATATGCTCTATGACGAATATCAAACAAAATATGTGTTAATTGTAGCAATTGTTGAAATGTAAGTTGATCATATCAATGTTAGTTGATCATATCAATGTTAGTTGATCATATCAATGTTAGTTGATCATATCAATATTAGTTTAGTTTATCATATCAATGTTAGTTTATCATATCATATCAATGTTAGTTTATCATATCAATATTAATTTATCATATCAATATTAGTTTAGTTTATCATATACTATTCAAAAAAAGTAGGGGATATTTGATTTTTAAGTGTTATTAAAGTCACCTAATGAAACTGACGAAGAAACAAATGACAAAATGAAATGAAGTTCACATTCATCGATTTATTCCAAATGATCGTTAGACTAAGTAAGGCACAGACTGACCATTATAAGGGTAAAATGATACCCGGGGTCAAACAGCATCACAACCAAGTCAGTAACGGGTAAATCCTCCTCTGTTTGCCAAACAAGCATTGATCCGACGTGGCATACTCCTAATGAGACGTCTAAGGTCATTTTGGTCCAGATTGTCCCATTCCTGTTGCAACGCAGCAGCAAGTTCTTGGACATTGGCAGGACGTTGTTGACGTTGACGTAACCTCTGTCCAAGCATGTCCCAGACATGCTCGATGGGGGAGAGGTCGGGACTCAGTGCTGGCCAAGGTAATGTGGTGATGTTCTGTTGTTGGAGGTAACCTGTAACGATCCTGGCCCTGTGACATCTTGCGTTGTCATCCTGGAAGATGAAACGGCGGCCATGACGTCGTGCGAACGGCACGACATGGACTGCCAAGATGTTGTCCCGGTAGTACTGGCCTGTAACACGCCCTGCAACAACATGTAAAGCCGTTCTTCCAGCAACAGTGATGCCTCCCCACACCATAACAGAACCACCCCCAAATCGATCATGTCTGATGACGTTAACGTCTTGGAAGCGCTCGTTTCGACGACGCCACACCCTCCTACGTCTGTCCAAAAAATCAACAGTGAACCTTGACTCATCTGAAAACATCACATTGCTCCAGCTTCGATTATCCCAGTGTTGACGATCCCTACACCAACGACGTCTTGCCTGAATGTGATGATCTCTCAAACAAGGGATCACGCGAGGACGTCGGGCGCGAAGGTGACCCCTATGCAGTCGATTCCGAATCGTCTGGCCACTCACTCTCACACCAGTGTCTGTTTGAAGACGAGCGCTGATCTGATTTGCTGTGATGACACGATTTCTCAAGGCCAAGGTACGGATAAATCGATCCTGGGCTTGAGTTGTCGCCCTTGGTCGACCTGAGCGTGGTCTGTCCTGTACAGATTGTGTATCACGGTATCTGGACCATAGCCTGCTTATGACAGACTGAGAAACATTCATCGTCCGCGCCACAACCGCCTGTGTTGTGCCGATCTGTAGCATGCCAAGGGCACGTAACCTTTCATTTTGGGTAAGCCGACGCATATCAAAATTTGTTTTCTGGTCACTAAAACAATTAAACTGATGTTTCCACCCTGGAATTCAATGCCACAATGACTGTAACATTCAAAGTCAGAGTCGTGCAAATATCCCCTACTTTTTTTGAATAGTATATAAAAATGTTAGTTTATCATATCAGTGTTAGTTTATCATATCAGTGTTAGTTTATCATATCAATGTTAGTTTATCATACTAATGTTAATTTATCATATCAATTTTAGTTGATCATATCAATGTTAGTTGATCATATCAATGTTAGTTGATCATATCATTGTTAGTTGATCATATCATTGTTAGTTGATCATATTTATCATGTTGCTTTTCCAGAGCTCCAGATTCTTACGAAGATTCAGAAGAAATTTACTTGAATCCTGCTTTAGAAAATATCCACACAAACGGAAACGCAACAGAAGACTACAGAAGTGCAATTTCATTGGTCGGTAAATCAGCTGCACATTCATCTCAAATGCTAGTCTCCACACAAAAACATTTACCCTTTGAGTCAAGTGTGGAACCCGATGCATTATTGAGTGAAAATTCTTATGTAGGTGATGATTGGTTGATTGATGATACCCGACCAATCAAAAGAAAGTTTAGAGATTGTGATGGATTGATGAGTGGAAATTCTTTTAGCAGAAGTCAGAAATCAAATGTTGCTAAGCGACAAAGAATTACAACCAATCCAATTGAAGATGATGATTTAGTGTCAAATGATTCGAACGATATTTGTGATATTAACGACAATAATTTTAATATGGACAACGAAGATATAGACTTCTGTGTCATTGAGGACGTGATATCACCAGAAGCCGTCAATCGAACAAACAATACTCAAAAAAGTCTTTCATTAAAACGAAAAGCCAAACAGACTAGAATAACCAGCTTTGGTTCAAGTTCTGAAAGAATGCAAATGTCTACCTCTTCGAATAAAGTTAATAGCAGAAATATCAATAATAAAACATTAAAACAGAGTGCCGTGTCCATCAATGACTTATGGGATACAAATTCCAATGATTCTGTTGATTCATCAGCAGGAATAAACAGTATTATTAATGTACCGTCTGTTAGTCAAATGTCTACTAATGTGATGAAATTTAAAGTGAAAATCAAAGATAAAGTTTTATTAATACCAGTTCTTCAAAGGTAAATTTTAGTACATAACATAGATGGATTGTTTTTGATCAGTTTTTTTTTTGTTACTGTCATTGAATCAAGTGGCATGTTTTGTTTTTTTTATCCCAGGCTTGTATGTGATAAGGAGTAGGATTTCCTGTGCAACCTCATGGGTTTCCCCAGGTCCACTAGTTTCTTCCCACAGCTAAAGACTTCTAAGCACAATCCAATTATTGAAATAAATTTGAACCATATGTTAGTCCCGAAATGATCTAGTTTGTGTTGAGTGGACTTTAAACTCCATTTCTCTCTAGCTCTAATTTATTAAGTATTGAAAATAATATTTAAAAATATATCATCAAGTCTTCTTGTGGTACAACAAATATTTTAATAGAAAATTTTTATCGGTTACCCGGTTGCGGTTGGGTTTTTAAAGACCAGTTAACCAGTTCTATAATTTTTGATTGAAAACTTTAGATTTGATGCTAATACTGTTATCAATCTTTTCAAGTTCCTAAAATAGTCAAAGTTATGTCCCTTTATGTAAATTCATCACAAAATAGAAAATAACTTATAACTTTGATATTTAATAAAAATTCATGTATGTTGTAATCTGTAGGATAAGAAGATAGTATATAACACTGTAACCCGGGTATCATTAAGTCTTGTGTATTCAATATTCATTCAATATCGTTTAAAATCACCAAAAATCATCTAATTTGTACTTGTGTCCAGTTTAAAGCTGACAGTTCAATTTTGATGAGTGTCCAATTTACAAGCGTTTAATTTCAAATTTTTGGTAGAACAGTTTTCCTGTAAAGAAAGCTGGTTGGCCAATGGCAGTAGATTCTGTGGTATTTGCAATATGTCATTAAGAGTCTTGAGAACATATCGATAATTATGGAATTTAGTTGTAAGAGTTATACCGGGATTTTATTTCCGACTTCTGTTTCAGTAATCAAGACAAAACTATATCTTGGTTGTCACAGGAAGTATCACAGAGATATTATAGTCTGTATGGATTACGTCCCCTTTTAACACTGAGTACAACAGAGGGTGCTTTACTCTCTCCAGATGATATTATATCTATGGTATTAGTTAATAATGATGTGGTAAGATACAGTTTTACATCCTTAGATAAAACAATAAAAGAGAATGGCTATGCTTCAACTTGCTACCATATCGGCTTCTAATCAGGTCACAGGTGTTGGCTGAGAAAGACGCTGTAGACTTTCCAGCCTGTAAATGGTGGTCTAGCCATTTGGATGGGACGGAAAGCTGTGTAAACCATTGGCAGCACAGTAAAGATTTTTTGAAACATGAAATCAAATTGAGAGTGGGCTGTAGCCCTAGGTAAAATTTTCTCCATATGGTTGTCTTCATTGGCCTGGTTGGTGCAGAAAAGACCTTTTCCCTACTTGCTGAGTTGTTGCCCCTGTCACAAAAGAAACAATGGGTATGCTTGGTTGAACATTCCAGAATTGTATTCTGTCAAACCCAAAAATAGTGACAATCGAATGAAAATGGGATTTTGGGCTAGAACATATGCGCTGACTGCATGAGAAAATATCTCAACCAACCATGACAGATGAAACATATTTATTAGGTTTAATTACATCACGATTCTACTCACACCACCTCCGTTGTCGGGACAGACAGAACTGTGACAGGACCAAATTTCTCGTCACTCGATTGCAATTCCTTCAATTCGGAACTTTCTGGACTGAAAATCGTGCGACCCCCTTGAAATGGTTAGAGGTTTTCAGATATTTTAGTAAAACTAAACTATGCTGCATATATGGAAATATTGCTTTTATTACCTTCATACATATTATATACATCTGTATCCCTGGAGTTGTTAGTTTTGTGATATAATGTGTCTTGTTTGTAGATCTCTGGTACTATAGATAATTGGGATTTACCTCCCTTACATCAAAGATATAAACAAGCTTGTAAAACTCTAAATACAGGTAAGTTGTTATACATATATTACTTGCTGATTTATGCAGAAAAATAGGATGTTTAAAAACTTTATTCACATATTTATTGCCCTTATTTGTAATGGCTTTGAGGCCAGCCTCATGCCATGTCCGTTTTCATTAGCCCAGTTGGTACAGAACAATAGGACGTTAAACCCCATTTAATCATTTACTCTTTGAAGGCCACAGCTTTTAAGATTTTTATTTCAAATGGATATTGTTTGAATGGTTATGAGAATGAATCCCACTGGAATTTATACTTCATTTATTTGCAGAATTGTTGATCTTCTCATTTTTCAGGATCAGACTAGTTTAACATAAGGACATCTTGTATCTGTTTTTTATATTTTCAGTAACATACAGTAATATAAGTAATATACTACAGACTAGTGAAACAACGGGACATCTTGTTCTCAGTAATCTGGCTTTACGACCTGTACAGATACAACCAGTATTCAGAGCTCTACAGGGACAAAATAATTTAACTATATTAAACTTACAAGGTATTAGCAATATTAAGTTTAACCCCTTTGTACATGTGGATATTGACTAACCCAGTTCCTTGAAGGAAATTAGAGAAAAGTGATATATTATTAAAGATACTTTTCTGCGTACAAACTGTGTGATTTGATGATATATTTGGAGGGGATCACGGTGGCTAAGATGGTAAGACTCGCTAGACTGAAGTTTGGCCAAAAAAAAGTTCATCCAGATTGGCCGAAACTGCACAACAAAATGGCCGCTCTTTGTACGCAAATTGTGTAAAAGTATGTAATACAAAGGTTGTGGACCCTCTTGAGGTTACAATTTTTATTTGGTTTTGATGAAACTTAAAATATATCTTTATATCCCAAAGATCTCGATCCCTTTCTATATTTGCTCATATCAGACCACAACTTTCTGGATTATGGCCCCTGATTGTACGGGTATGGAATCGCTTTTGTTTTTAGCTTGTTCTCTGTCCATCTCTTGCAAATTCTGGGCATATCTTGCCTGGCAACCGCTGCTTTTTCATATATTTTTTTTCTTTTAATGTTAGTTTATTATATTTCCTAACTACTTATACTATTCTCAATTCAATAGCTTTAGAATTTAAAAGAATATTTTTCGGGTAGCCTCACCCCTTAATGAACAGTCCAAAATGACTGTTAATTGCATTCCTCAAACCACTTTCCGTCAGGGCACTTTCTTTATATAGGACAATTTTGCTTACGCCACAGCTGTGCGTGTGACAGGAAGTTCTAAAGAGCCACTGTTATGGCGGTTTTGGACTGTCTTATGTGCTAAAGGGTTAAAAAAAAAAAACTGAACTATTTAAATCTAAGGCAAATTTACTGTTTGTGGAGGATGCTTACCAGTCAAAGAAAGCAGTTTCTAATTTCTGGCCTCAGTGGAAGAATTGTAAGGGACAGTGGTTAAATTTCAACACTTGTGCCCAAACGTATACCCGGGGATAGATCAATATTCAATATGAAATAATCAACGTTTAAAGATACATTATAGGAGATTATATAATTGCTAGCAGCTCTCACTATAATAGTTAAAAACTAGATAATGTAAATGGAATTTGCTGAAAATTTCAGTCAAATTGATCCACTCTGAACGGAGAATTTAGCAGTTGAATTTTCGGCATAGCCTCATCATTACTATAGTCGGTACCATAAAAAACATAGTCTCGATTATCCATTTCATGATTTAATCATGAATGAAAGTTGAGCAGCAAATCCTATCCTAATCCAGTTAATATCACAGGCTAGCAATGATATCGAGAGTTTATTATGTTCAGAATAAGTTAATTAATGTTTAATTAATAATTTAGGTCACATTTCAGGCCTAAAGAAAGACCTGCAATAGGCAGATTTAGCTCTTGCATAATGTATGTTTAATTTATCATTTTCTCGCCGCTTGTTGTTCAACCCACTTATTTTGAAGTGACCACTTGAACGCTCTTGTCAGTCCTAGTAATATCATTTATTAATCTCTTGCAGGTAATAGAATGGGTGATATAGGTGTTGAGAATTTGAGTAAAACATTTGAAGCGATGCCCAATTTAACCAGTTTAAATGTAGCGTGTAATAATATTACTAGTATAGGTATAAAACATATAACAGATGGTATAAACAATACAGACGATACAAACAATACAAAACATTTACAGGTATGTCTATTTTATTTTATAATTTTGTTATAGAAATGAAATGAAATGGGGTTTAACGTCCTACTGTTTTGCTCCGAACTGGGCTAATGAAGACGGATAATTTTGTTATAAGACCACATTTGTGAACAAGACTACAGTTAGTAACAGTTATTTTTAAAATTTGGTGTGAAACATTGGCTTCATGGTTACACTGGTTGTGCAATCTTTCCATCCGTATTTACACCCCTTTGCCAAATACCTTGTGAATGCAATAGAGGCTACAGATTTGTTCAAATTCTGTATGAAGCATTTGGTCAATGAGAGGATGAGTCCTACTGATTTCCACAAAATCTATACCAAACATAGATAAACACATAATATGGAACACAATTACTATTTTAATTAATGCGATGTTTCATTGGGGGGTTCTCTCAACGTTTTCAAGCGTCGCTTTCATTAAAATAATAATGGTGTTCCATATTATGTTTTTGTGTTTATTACGTATGTCAATTGCTAAATTCTGCTCAAAGAAGGCAAACATAGATGTTGGAGGAATGACATTATAGATTTATACTAGGATTATGAACTTTTAGTCATTGCAGTTATTTCATGTATTTATTTATTTATTTATTTCATATTTTTCATGTATTTTTCGTTTATTTCAGTTATTATGTTGTTTAAATATAAATGGTAATGGATTAGGTGATAATTGTATAACAAGTTTATCGTGTTTAATATCATCTCTACCATCATTATCATCATTATATATATCATCATGTCAACTTACTACACAATGTTTTCAACAACACAGAATATTACTAGCCAACTCTTTAACAGGTAAATAAACGCATCCACACACTAGCAATTATTTGTCAGCCATTTTCCATCGCTGACATAGAGTCATTTGTCTGCGTCAGATTTTTTCATGGTTGATAAGCATCTATTTCCAAATGAACACTTTTATAACAGAGATTATTTGTTTTTAAATGCCTTTTATAAGAAGCATGCTGTTAGATCATAAGGTCTGTCATTAAATCAAGTGGCTTGGTTCTGATTCCCACCTTGTAGGATCGTCTGTCCAACCTCCTCGTCTTTTTTCTCAGTTCTCTGGTGTCCTACTGTCAAAAATTATGAAAATAAAATTGAACTATATGTATGTGTCGAAATGACCAAGTTTGTGTCAAGTGGATGTTAAACCCCATTTCTTTCTCTCTAATAGCTGAATCAAAAGTGAGTAGCACCAAGTAAATGTCTCTTTCAAATTATTTTTTAAAAGTTATTAAAGCAGAAGTATAATTCCATTATACACAAGAATTTATTGAGTACACAATAAGATAACTTCTTTGCAATACAATAGTCGAAAACTGAACACTTCAGCTACAAACCAATGACTTAACTAGTTATGACAAGTTTCCAAAAATGCAGTCACCATTGTTTATCTAACTAGCAATGTCAGCCATTAAACATTCATAAACCATGTCCTCTCTCTTTCTTAGTCTACCTGTGGGGTTGGATGACCGAAAGGTTAGCACATACGCGCTGTATCATAAGGTCTGTCATTGAGTCAACTGGCAGGGTTTTGATTCCCCGGTTGTACATGACAAGGATTAGGGTCGCCTGTCCAACCTCATGGCTTTTCTCCAGGTCCTCCGGTTTCCTCCCACTGCTAAAGACTCCTACGTGCAAGCGAATTATTGAAATAAAATTAAACCATATGTTAGTCCCAAAATGACCTAGTTTGTGTCGAGTGGATGTTAAACCCCATTTCTCTCTCTCTCTCTCTTAGTCTTCTACTTTAGTTGAGAAGTCTTGTCAATCCAGTCCTCTTGCTCGTCATGCAAGGGCCTGGAAATACTGGTCTTTTAAATATATTTAAATATATTTGTTTTCAGCATCAAATGTGCGCTTATTAGATGTGTCGTGTAATAAATTTGGAACTCTGGGTGTTGAGTTATTGATCAAATGTTTAAATAGTCAGAAAATTACAAGTTTAAATATGGCTGACACTCAATCAGGAACCAATAGCAGTCATCTGTCCTTACATCTACAACATTATTTTACTCAGGTAAGTGAGACATTCTTTTCGTAAAAAGGCTTATTTTGATCAAATATGAGCCGCTCCCACAAAACCAGGCTCTTGGTCATCTTTATGAAAATAGAGCTGGCAGCATATTTGAATAGTCCACGGCCTATAAGTATAAGCTTTCCGCAATTCTTTTTAAATTTGTCGTATCATCTGGAGTTTTGCTCATTCACAGCAGCAAGAAGGCATAGGGTTTATGCTTTTGTGCCCGTAGTACAAAATGAAGAAGTGCGACAAGCGCCTGGTTTCGTTTGAGCAGGTCACAAATGAAATAAATATGTTGTAGTTTTTAAAATCCAATACCCTTCAAGCTCTTGATTTAGAAATGTTTTTGGGGCAGGGATTCCTTTACACCTGTATATAATGGACATGCCCTATGCAAGTTGGCAAACGTTTGACTGGGAATATGAAAGTGGTCGATCAACTGAACTGGATACTAATTAAACAAACCAACTGACTCATTATAATTAATGCCCCCGTCAGGCCAGGTTGGCGTCCTTACTGCACAGCTTCGACCGTACAGCGACCAGAAGATACACAAGGTCGCTGACAAACGTGAACACAGCGCGAGAAAATGTCCTAAAAAAATACATACTTGAAAAAAGTCGCTTTCTCACAGCTTTCCATGTCAGATTGCAGAACCTTGGCGTTTGTTTTGAATATGCTAAAAAATAAACGCTGTGAATCAGCGATCATTGGCGACCATGGAGACCACATAATTTGCACCATGCTTTTACCACGCTTATGCCGATCTTGACGCCCTCTGGGACCATTTTCCATCGCCGTAGCAGCATAGTAAGGATGCCACCGCGGTCTGACAAAGGGGTATTACGTGGAATTAATAAGAATGATCTCTACACCCAGTTACCATACACTGGTATATATTTCAATTGGTCAGATACATATAATACAACTAGGGTATAAAAGATTAATCTGTTTTGTGCAACAAGTTTATGCATAATTTAATACACCCATTGTCATTCAAATGGAAAAAATAAGAGTGTCTCCCTGCACAAGTATTCCAAGAGCAATAGCAAATTATACATGCAAATATCATTAATCCATAGTTTCTAATTCTTGAATTTTAGTTTCTTCAACTGTAGACATTGTACTAGCCATAATTATCAAAAAAATCATCATCAATAAAGTCAAAATTAATCATAGGTTCTGCCATTTATTTTTTTTTTGCAAAAACAGTGGTTGCCAAGTAGTTGACGCCATTACAGTAGTGACCTCATTCTGAAAGTGATTTCATTCCGGAAAAAAGTAGTCCCTGTTGAATCCACTGAATACAGCCATGGGTAGGGTGACCCGTGCACTCTACAGAAAGTTGGTCTCGACACGGATAAATGTGCACGCTTCAGTTGCGTGTCTCGAACTGATTTCTGACTACCCCGCACTCTCTTTGAGTCGATAAATAGCCATGGCACGTGCAATTCTCTACAAATATATCAACTATTACAGCCGTAAAAAATCTATTGTAGACGATTTTGAATAGCAGTAAAATTTAGCTTCTTGGTTATTACAGCAGCTTTGGAAATTACGTTTGTTTTATTTTTTAAATTGCTTTATCATTAACTGTACCGTTAAGAGCGGCATCTTTTGGTTTAGTACAAATAATATCTCTGAATCACTTTCGTTAGCAGGAACACGATACTATCAGTAGTTTCATTTTACTTTTACAAGTTTCTTAAAACAATTGTTGAGTTGCCTAAAGTGCTTATTTCTAAATTCAATTTCTTGTTCTAGCTTTCTGTTATGTTTCGTAAAAAAGTAGTCTGGATTATCCCGACCTGTCAATCAGACGTAGCCCTAATTTTCGACAGTGCCTTTTTTATACGTCCACGCCCACATTGAAATGTGGACGTATATTGCCGTCGCCCCCGTCCGTCTGTCGGTCCGTCTGTCCGTCCGTCTGTTCTTGTGAACGCTCTAACGCCAAAAGTTATCATCCAATTGTTTTAAAATTGATATATGTTGTTAACATTAGTGAGATGAAGAAGCTTATTTAATTTCAATAATTTCCGTTTATTATGTCTAGAGTTATGGCCCTTGTTTCACTTTGCTGAACCTTGTGAACGTTCTAATGCCAAAAGTTAACATACGATCTTTGTGAAATTTATATGCAATATTTAATTTAGTGAAACGAAGAAGCCTATTGAATTTCAGCAATTTCTGTTTATTACGTCTAGAGTTATGGCCCTTGTTTCACTTTATTGAACCTTGTGAACGCTCTAACTCCAAAAGTTATCATCCGATCTTTCTGAAATTTACATGCATTATTTAAATTAGTGAAACGAAGAATCCTATTGAATTTCAGCAATTTCCGTTTATTACGTCTAGAGTTATGGCCCTTGTGACACTTTATTGAACCTTGTGAATGCTCTAACGCCAAAAGTTATCATCCGATCTTTCTGAAATTTATATGCATTATTAAGATTACTGAAACGAAGAAGCGTATTGAATTTCGGCAATTTCCGTTTATTACATCTAGAGTTGTGGCCCTTGTTTCACTTTATTGATCCTTGTGAACGCTCTCACGTCAAAAGTTATCATCCGATCTTTCTGAAATTTATATGCATTATTTAGATTGCTGAAACGAAGAAGCCTATTGAATTTCAGCAATTCCCGTTTATAACGTCTAGAGTTATGGCCCTTGTTTCACTTTATTGAACCTTGTGAACGCTCTAACTCCAAAAGTTATCATCCGATCTTTCTGAAATTTACATGCATTATTTAAATTGGTGAAACGAAGAAGCCTATTGAATGTCAGCAATTTCCGTTTATTACATCTAGAGTTAGGGCCCTTGTTTCACATCTATTGAATTTCAGCAATTTCCGTCAATAATTTCTAGAGTTATGGCGATTGTGAACGTTTGAATGACAAAAGTCATCATGTGATCTGTATGAAATTTATATGAATTATTTAAATTAGTAAAACGAAAAAGCCTGTCAAATTTCAACAATTTCTGTAGATTACTTCCAAAGTTGAGACCCTTGTTTCAGTTTGTAGAACCTTGTAAACCCTCAAACGACAAAATTTATAATCTGATCTGTATGGAACTGTCTTGTAAAGGCCCCCAATTACCTACAAAGGAATAAATATGCGACAACCCTTGACGACCGCTCGGACGATTTAGCTGCTGTGGGCGTATGTTTTGTTGCCTGGCAACCTATCTTTACTGCTGAAAGTGCCTTTTCTCAGACCCAAATATGTCCGTTCCCAACCCGTTGCAGGGATCCCAAATGACTCAAACCATCGATTCAAACACACCAGTCTGGTCTAATTAATGCTTCCACTTTCAAGCGAATTCTTGTTGTTAAGCTGACGGTGCCCTAATCATATAGAGTGACTATAGACAGACATCTTGTGGAATCAGCGGCGTATACACTCATGTCCATCACCGACGCTCATGAGTGCAACTTGATGTAGCATTGTTACATGTGTGGACAGTACAAAGTATAAGTTACAAGACTTAAATAGTGAAGTGGCTAGGGAATAGATTCGTCTTTTTTCCCATCATAATGCCTCGCTCGCCTTGACAATTTTCGAGTCGCGTGTTCAACTGGCTTTTTTGCTCGATTTTAAGACTCTTTTTTTTCCAACGATTTCTGAACGTTTACTTAGACGAAAATATCAGCCAAATAGCTCTTGGAATGGCTACAGATGCAAGGAAATGACGGATAATTTTCTTGGGGGATTCCCCCCCACCCCCACAAAAAAAAAAAAAAAAAATCCCCTCTCAGCGGCGTGCCCCGTCTCCGCGGTCAATGCCCTCATTATGAGGCGCCCCCCTTTTTCAAAATTCCTAGATCCGCCCCTGAAGCGAGACTAATTTCAAAACAAGGGCACGTAACCTATCTTTTACTCAAAAGTGTCTGGATGTTATGGACAACACTTGGAACCAGTTTTCAGTCTATTATTTATAGATGATTAATGGTCATAGCTTATTAAGTACAACATGGTCGTTTATTTAGTGACTATAATTGTGTGAAACTGATTTGAGGCTTGGCATATATATAAATATTGTGGCGTAATTGTCGAGATATTTGGAGATATTTATTTATGGTGGGTCACCCTACCATGGGTTATTGAATGACTGTATTCAATGATATTTGCATGTAGTCATAGAATAAAATGGGGTTTAATGTCTTACTGCTCAGCACCAACCAGCTAATGAAGAGGGGATATACCATTTGGGACGGGGATCACAGTGGTTAAGTGGGTAAGACGCTGGCTCACTAGCCTAGAGGTTGGGTGTTCGATCCCTGCATTGGCCGAGAAAGTTCATTCAGATTTTCTGGCGTGGTTTCCCCTTCTCAGTGATGCAGGATGGAGGGCCTGACAAGGACAGCTGTCTAGTCATTTGGATAAGATGAAAAACCAAGGTCCCGTGTACACATTGGCGTGCACGTAAAAGATCCCTTGACAGTTGGAATTCGATGTAAGAGTAGGCAGTAGTGCTCGTCTTCATTAGCCCAGTTCGGAGCAAAACAGTAGGACGTTAAACTCCATTTCATTTCATTTACCATTTGGGACATTTTGCTTGACAATGTAATGATTTTGACCTGACATTGTAATGATTTTGATTGTTTGATGATTTCAGGTTGGTTGTAGTTTAGAAGAATTAAATATTTCTGGTTGTAATCTATCGTCTGATGATGTTCACTCTATAACACGGTACGTTCACTTTACTTCTATTATCTGATGATTTTCACTCTGTAACATGGCACATTCACTTTTTTTATACGCCCACACGGAAACATGGCTGTATATTGTCGCCGCCTCCATCCGTCTGTTGTCCACAATTTTTGTGAGCACTCTACAGACTACATTTATTATCCAATCAAGGGTGTTGGATGGCCGAATGATTAGCATGTGCGTGCTGTATCATAAGGCCTGTCATTGAGAGAAACTGGCGTGGTTTCGAATCCCTGGTTTTATTTGACAAGGAGTAGCGTCGCCTGTCCAACCTTGTGGGGTTTCTCCAGTTTCCTCCCACTGCTAAAGACCCCTATGCGCAAGCGAATTATTAAAATAAAATTGAACCATGTGTTAGTCCCGAAATCAGCTAGTTTGTGTCGAGTGGACATTAAACCCCATTTCTCTTTTTCTCACTTTACTTCCATTACATGGTAGGTTCACTTTTTTTGTACCACACATGGAAACGTATTTTGTCGCGGCCTCCTTCCGTCCATTGGTCTGTCGTCTACTATTTTTGTGAATACTCTACAGACTACATTTATTATCCAATCTTTTTAAAATTTATATATGTTGATTGCATTAGTGAAGCGAAGAAATCTATTTAATTTCAACAATTTCTGTTAATTACTTCTAGAGTTATGCCTTTTATTTTCACTTTGGTGAACCTTGTGAATTCTCTGACGACAAGAGTTATAATCAGATCTGTATTAAACTATTATGCATTATTTAAATTACTAAAACCTGTGTTGACTGCCCAGATGATTAGCTGCTGTAGAAGTATGTTGCCTGGCAACCTATCTTATGTTGATATGGTTACTTCATTATTTGGGGTCCCTGTAGTTGTGGAGTTAAGGAACAGTACTAGACTGTTCCAATTGTGGTTCTTTTATGGGTGAGCCCTTTCGTGAGGTGACAAAGACAGCTGATTATTTGTTTAGATGTGAAGAGTTAAGTCAAAATTAAAATGTTTGCTGGGCAAAATTCTCCTGCCTAAGAATACACTCATGGCCATGAAAAAAAAAATAACTATATTTTAGTTTCAAAAGGAACTGTCGATGTACAATTGAGTCATGTAAAATTTGTATGTTAACATCTCTGACATTGAGAGGTTTAAGCAGACAAGACTTTGCCATGTTATGTACAAATATGGAATCAAAACCAAGACACTTGTGACAAGGAGTGGGGTCGTCTGCCTGACCTTGTAGGGTTTCTCTGGGTCCTATGGTTTCCTCCCACTTCAAAAAGATCCCAGCGGTCATTGTCTTGTTTCTTCTCAAGCCCATTAAAGATACATTATGTAAGATTTAGATAATGAGCTGGCCGTTTTTTCTATAATAGTTCAAAATAGATAATGCATAATAAATATATTGAAAATTTCCTTCAAATTCTGAGCCAAGTTATCACTGTTTGTATTTTTGACAAGATCTGTGTATTGATTATTTATTATTGTAACTGCGGTACGGGTTTATTCGGTTCTTAGCCTCGCTTCTCCATTTTTAAATTAAGTCATTAAATCGGCGAACCGTATTAATCTAGTTCAAATCTTGTGCATCCGATATCATCGAGAGTTGATTATGATCTTGTCATGTCAATGAATGTCTAATTAATAATTTATATAACATTTAAGGCCAAATGAAAGACCTTCAACAGGCAAATTTAGCTCTTGAATAATGTATCTTTAAGCCAATCATTGACATCGATGATATCACTTCGATGGAAGCGGCCTTTTTTTTAAATACAGCTATTTCACACACATCATTGATATAAAATATATGTCATGTTAGTTTGGAGATTTGTCTTTGTTAAGCCGTAATTTTCTAAATTGATTTTTGATAATTCTCTTCTTTTACAGATTACCATCCTCTTGTCCAAGACTCCATAAACTCTTAATCTCCAAAAATATCCGAATAACAAACCAAACAATACAACAACTTTTACAAACTATTGTAGAAAACGATGTTAGTTGCTTGGAGGAAGTTACCGCTGACGGATGTAGTATTAAATCTCCGTTAGATACAGGATTTTTAGATTCTCTTAGTGATGTTTTGTGTCGTAGTTTCCCGCTGCGTTTTCTGTCGTTTACGTGTGAAGGTCTTGATAAAGTTGACTGTGACTGCATACGTCAGGTTTGGGAAGAAAAATGGAAAGATTTATCAAAGTTGGTGGTCTCAGGAAATCATATTCAACTCAGTGTATCAGAAAAAAACTCTTAAACGGAATGATAAATGTACGAAAATTATATATCTGTTTGTATGGTCAAATTTCAATTTTTTGTTAAAGATGTATTATGTAAGATTTAGATAAAGAACTGACCATTCTTGCTATAAGAGCTCAAAAAAAGATAATGGAACATGAAAATATTGAAATTTTCATTCAAATTACTTCATTCTGAGCCAAGTTATCACTGTTTGTAGTTTTTACAAGATGTGTGCGTTGTGGTAACCAGGGTACTGGTATATTCGAGATTTAACCTTGCTTCCCATTTTTAAATTAAAATTTTTAATGGCTAACCGTTCTAATCTAGCTAATTAAATCTCGAATATCCGATGCCATCAAGAGTGATTATGGTCTTGTCTTGTTAATAAATGTCTAATTAATAGTTTATATAACATTTTAGGCCTAAAGAAAGACCTGAAATAGCCAGATTTATTTCTTGCATAATGTATGTTTTGTTAATCTAAATTTTTGATGTCTTTTGAAATTAATTTTTCACTGTTTTGAAATCATTACATTAATCTTTTTTTGAAACTTTAGTGTTTAGTATTATTAAATGCCACTGAAACATTATAATAATAACTTTGTAGCAGTAATTGTACAAAGGCATTGTTTAAAATATATCAATGAAAGTGGGGTTCATTAAAATTTTTCAATGAAAGTGGGGTTCTATCTAAGAAAAACAAGAAATGAAATTGTACTTTTATATTTACGTTTCCAAATTTAAGCTGTTATTTTGTATTAAATTGTTTGTGATATTGATACCCAGATTAGCATCTTCTGTTATACTGAGTAATGTTAAAAATTTATCAATAGATTTAGAAGTATTAGGACATATAAAAAAACATTCTGGTTCTCACACTCACACACCCCTTAAAAATAGCAGCATGACATGTTTTTATTTCCAGATATGTACCCTAGACTCAATCATCAAATATGCTACTCTGATAAATGTTATTGATGATCCTAAATGATACTGGATAATCCTACATGCATCAGAGAGAGAAATGGGGTTTAATGTCCACTCGACACAACTCGAGAAAACCCACGAGGTTGGACAGGTGACCATACTCCTTGTCACATACAACCGGGGAATTGAAACCACATCAGTTGACTCAATGACAGACCTTATGACACAACGCGCATGCACTAATAATCATTCACACCCCCCCCCCCCCCCCATACATTCAACAATGTGTTGAGATAAATGTAGTGCCTTGAAATGTGATGTTTATGAGAAGTCATTAAGTCAACTATTTATCCTTTGGCAAAATAAAAACAAAATCATAAAAACTTCCCTCTTGCATTAGATTTTTAGGAAATGAAATGAAATTAGGTTTAACGTTCTACTGTCCTGCTCCAACTGGGCTATTGAAGACAGAGATTTTTAGGAAGGATTGTTTGAGAACTAGAATATTTTTTTTGTATGGCTGAATAAATTGTATGTATTTATGTAGATATATTGTTTATATATTTATTGTATATACTGTATTCAAGGTTTGACTCCCAAGACATTTCTTTGTAAACATTATTAAATATGTAAAGTTATGAAAAACATTAAAGAATATATTTTTTCGGTTTGGAGTAGTTTTTCTATCATCAAATTTCTTCCATTGAAAATCTTCCATACATAGACTTTGTCATATTGAGTCGTTGGGCAGAAATAGGCAAGATTAAAGATACATTATGTGAGATTAGATAAAGAGCTGGCAGTTCTCACTATAATAGTTAAAAACTAGATAATATAAAGGGAATTTGCTGAAAATTTCAGTCAAATTGATCCACTCTGAACCGAGATTTTAGAGATTGAATTTTTAGCCTAGCCTCGATCATCATTACTAAAGTTGATACTATAAAAAACATAGTCTCGATTATCCATTATTATACTAAATGGAAAGTGTGGAAATGAATTTATAAGTGTGCTATTTAATTTGCAACTGATTGGAATGTGAAAGACCCTCACTATTTTCTGGCCTGGTTTCACGTTGCCAGTAGTCCTTCAAATTGTATGAAAAAACAAAGTCCTGAATGCAAATTGGCCTGCCGGTCAAACAACCCTTGGCAGTTGAAATTCAAAGAATAGTAGATGGAAATACTGCTGTCCACCGATTTGTCATGGGATTGCATCTGTCAAGGGTTTGTTTATGTTTTGCATTGGCTGAGCTGACTTGGTATATATTGTACATCTCATCAAGCCCTTCACACAACCCTACTAATTTCGGTTGGCTACTGACCCAGCTGTGGAGCCTATCCGATTCCTCGATCATCGCGAATACCAAGTCTTACTCTTTCTAGCTAAAATGTCTACCTGTGATAATCGAGTTGCAAAGTTCAAAGTTCGTTCAATGTCAAGGTTTCCGTGGAGGTTGCCATGTTTGATTTGAGTGTGTTTGTGTCTCTATCGTTCAGGTGTCTGCGTTAAAGGGAGATAAAGTAGCTATAAGTTCGGGAATTGCAGACCAGTCTACCAACGTCTGGATGTTGTAAAACGCGCGGTCTTTGCTTCAAGAACATGACTGGTGGAGAAAGTAGGAAGTTAAACTCCCATTTCAATTGAAATAACTTTGCCGGTTATTAATACCTTTAAAATAAATTACCGCGATACGGCACACAAACTGAGTAGTCAATTCGGCATTATAAAATGCCCCCAAAAATATCAGAGTATACATTACTAACCAGTCGCACACAGAGCCTGTGTCAACAAAAAAAAGCACATTCGAACACTTTACATTGAAATGCAATTCCTCTTGAAAGCGTTTACATAATTCGCCGAGAAAAACAATTAGGTCTATTAACATAGGTATAAAATGTTTATTAACGCCATAAAAAGATATGTTAAAAGGTTATAATTACAAAATGATAATATTATGTATAATTATATAGATTTTTGTAAATAAAGTCAAAAATGAAAAGCGTAAGTTTGATATTAAATAGAAAAAAGTTTCTATCAAAATTGTACATTATAAAGCCTGTAAAATCCATTCATATAAGGAGTATGTTCAATCTTGCAATTTGATTGTTTTTGGTGGCATTTCTTCTATAATTTGCCAGACGTATCTTCCCTTATCTTCTAACATTTCCACGACATCGTCTGTTTGTTGTAGTTCTTTGGCTGTTTGAATGGCCTGTTCGTTAATCTCGGATTGTGGGGTGGCCAAGTACGATCTCCAGTATTTCTGTAGAAGATTTCCAACATGATTAATGAGCGAATTTTGTTGAACCTTTTCTAAAACGGCCCGACATTCCGTCGTCCATATCTGTCTCGCCCTTTTTCTATTCTCTCGTTCTCCTGCAGTCAAAATGGTCGTTGGTTTAGTTTCCTTTTCTACAAGATTTTTCACACCCTTGCCTTCATTCGAATTCCCGCCAAATTTAACTTCTTTTGGTACGACAGTACTATCTTTGCTTGTTTCTAATTGTCGAATAGTTGGCCCGCTGTTTTCGCCGAAATTTGTCTTTGGTGAATTCAGGTCGTGCGCAAAACCGGGTTCTACGTCTTTAATTGGTTTAAATGCTATCAGATTGATTGTTTCCAAAAAGAATTTTTGAATATCATCGGCATTTGGAACCAAGTTGGCGTCATTACCTAACGCCATTTGTCTAGAACCCGCATCAATTTTTAAATAATGATGATCGCTCATGATAAGTCGAAATAATTCTTCGGTCGTTAATGTATCTCCATCATCGTTATTTAACAAACCTTGGGTGTCTCTGGAAATGGTAGAAGCACTAGATTCTTTGTATCCCATCTTTTCTTCATCGTCAGTCGATTCTTCATCTTCTGGGACACAGCAGACACCATTTGAGAGATAATTCAATATCTGTTGAACTGTATGACTTTCAGCTCCGACGATAGCGGCCTGTGATTCTTGGGTAGCAGACGACATCTTTTGCTCAGAAAATTCAGAACATCCACGTTCATTTTGATCACTATTAAAAGGTGAAGGGCAGGAATAACCGACATCGTTCCCTTCCATTTTGACTTTGATTAAAATTGACGTCATTATGACGATTTCATTGTTTATCAGTTGCCATAGATAACTCTTGACACAAAAAAAATGTTACAATTAAACTACTTCAGTTTCAAACCCATAGGCATATAGGGCGTGCCTTTCAAACAGGTATTAAAGGATATATATACACAGGACATTTATAAAAAATCAGGTCATTTTGGTCATTGACCTGCATTCTTATCTTTACATATTCAGGAATCAATGTGAAAATGCTATTTCAATTAAAATTTATCCTGAAAAGCATGAGTGGCGCATCTTCACAAATTTAAATGAACTACAACCATTTTATGAATATGGACGCTGACCTATACTTGTCGCCTAATCCCCCCGTGAATTTATTGTGAATACTCAGACCATGCCGGTTGTCTTCAAACTTGCAGTGTTTTCTTCATTTGCATATAAAAACCAGATGTTGTTGTTCATTGGGAGATTTCCAATTAGGTTTAAATTGCCGACATCCAAAGTTGTCTTTGAATTACTACTATTCTTCAGAGGTATTTTGAAACTATTGCATGTGTTCTGGAACCAGCCTGGGCTAAACTTGTGAAACTCTTCTCTGTTCTGCCATAAGCTATACAGCTGACTGAAAAAAATGACCCCTTAAAAATAAAAACATTTCACCAGGATCTGTGTCAAAAGAAAGGAGTTAGCATTCCAGTTGAGGTATATTTAATCTGCTGCCTAGTTGTAGCCGGGGCCAGCTTCGTTTTCTCTTATTATCACGGCTGATGATATACAGCAAAGTAAGTTCGGTAACTTGAAATGAAGTGAAATGGGTTTTAACATCCTACTTTTCTGCCTCGACTGGAATAATGAAGACGGGCATTGCAGTGTGCTAAGGGTGACATTTTTTCGCCATACAGCGGCGGTACGGCCTACTCTTATTTCGGATTCCAACTTTTAGGGTTTCTTTTACGTTCACACCAGGTCAATGTGTAGCCTACACGGAACCTTGATCGGCTTTTCGTCCCATCCGAACGACTAGACACTTCTTGCCAGGCCCTCCATTACTGTCAAGGGGAGGTAACTCGAGCTTAAGAGGTAATCTAACAGTACTACTACTAGGGTATACTCATGGAGTTAGAAACTGATAAATCTAATTGCCACTAAAATAAGCACGCCTGGGATATATTAGCTCTGAAATATATTTTACTGTTTTGTGTTCAAAGTTCAAGCATTTACCGAACGGTACCGGTAGTGGTACATAATTATTAATAATTTAGGTATGTCTAAAGTAATATTTTCATTAATTGCCGATAGTTAGACAAATCTTGAGAGCAAAATGAGTCTCTGGTGAAAGGGTCACATAATTCGTAATAATGCCGAACTAAACTGAGTGTTGCAAGGTGCTCGCGTGGAGCCTAAGTAACTAACTCACTGCGCGTGCGCGGACTCTTCGTTGCTAAACAAACGCTGCCGTTAGAATGGAATGACGTTTGAGATTCCACTTATCGCACCGACTTTCTTCGACAAAATGCCTAAATGTTTAATTAACTCTGTTCGAGATTACAAGTTTGGAAACTATCATGGCAGTTTTGGTAAGTAACAATGAGTAAATAGTCATCTTAATTGGCAGACCTTCAAAGTGAAAGTCAACTAAAGAACAGCCAAAAAATAGGCCTTCTTTTCTTCACTTTGCGATTTTTGTCGATGGTTGTCAACAAATTTCATTATTTTTTTCAACAGCGGAAGTTTCAATTTTAAATTGAAACAATCACAATAGGTCTAAACACTCGCTGTTTAATATCGTGATTGCTAATATAGATTAAAAATATTCTTATCGTATTGTGAATATCACCCCTATTATTATTCCATAGAAAGAAGGGTAGCGTTCGTTTCGACCAAAGCGAATGAGCAGGTGCCCTTCATTTTTGTTTTGAGATCTAGGACATATTTTATCAATTATTCTTGCAATAATTATGTTTGTACCGATTTCAAGGTTAATAGTCTTCTTGTTTATGCTCAGTGCTCTTGCCTTTTGGGGTAAACTCATTAAACTGGTCATTGGCATTGGGAAGTTGAATGAAATGAAGTCAGCAGAAGTGAATTTTAACTGACGTCAAGTATTTTTGCAACATTGTTTAGTAGTTCAAAGTTCATAGCAGGTGCCCGTTACTATAAAAATTAGAATATGTGCACTGATTTAGCCGTATGATATGAACACAAACATTTTGGGAACATTTCGAATTGTATAAAATAATTAAAATATTTAAATTTGTTCTTTCTTTTTTTTTTTTAGTCTACGACCCATTTGTAATGACAACCCGTTCTGGATTATCTATTAACACTATACCAAGAGGTGCAGCTTATACTGGAGTAAGATGTCTTCCATCGCCCCCAGAACTAAGCAGCGAGTCTTGTCAGCCTAAAAAAAGAGAAAGCACGACAAAAATTAGACCTTTGAGTTATCTTTCATTCGTTACTAGATTCCATCTTAGTCGGAGAATTCCTGAACTAAGTGTAAAATACCGAACAAGTTCCATGGCCTTTTCGAATTGGAAGGATGAACTGAACAGACTAGATGAAACAAGATCAACGGATTCCAATGGGAATGAGTCGGAAGATGATGGTAGCTTTTGTGAGGGTACGATTGATGATGGACCATTTTCACAAGAAAGCTCTGATTACAGTCAATTGGACGATGATAATGGTGGAGAGGATAAGTTTATTTCAGACGTTGGAGACAAAGCCCCCTCGAGTCCCGAGATAGACGTTGTTGGCAATGATTCTGCAGTTAATGTATTTGATATCAAGGCAGGAAATCCCATGACAACCAACAAGGAACCTTCACTTGAATTGAAAAAGGCCACCAAATTCAGTGTTTTAGATAGTGTCAATTACTTAAATGCTAACAAGTTGGTCTGTACAACGTTAGGACCAAAAATAGAGTTTTCATTGGTTAATAACGTCTACCCTAGGATACAAGGTAACAGCTTCCAAGCCCATATCCATAGTAATATTCCTGGAAACGAAAAAAAGGTCATGACCTTGGCGGAAGCAAGCAACCTATTTTTTGTAAGACCGAACATCCCGACTGGACAAGAGTTAAATGAGTTAGAGAGTCTGGAAGAGCGGGAGAAATACTGCAAAAATACAATTCAAAGATGTCCCCACTGTGATAGAGAATTTTTCTTGTATTCGGCTCTCCAGTCTCACATTAGACGACACGGAAAACAAGAGAACAAATGTGATCAATGCGGCAAGATCTTTTCTCGCACGTGGCTTTTAAAAGGTCATCTTAGAACACATACGGGTGAACGCCCCTTTAATTGCCCGGATGAGGAATGTGATAAAGCGTTCGCTGATAAATCCAACCTACGTTCACATATGTTAATCCACTCTTCCAAAAACAAAACACACGTTTGTACACGATGTGGTCGAGGTTTCGCTCAGAAACGTTATCTACATAAACATATGCTGGAAGTATGTAGAGTAGTACTCGCGTAGATTCTTTTTCTACAGTACATTATAGACTGAAATCGTTTCCATCAAATCATTCTGGTGTCTTATTTCCATACAAATTGCAGTTTAGCTAAAACGATATTAAAGTTTATGTCGTTATGAATTCCACGGCAGCTCATTGTGATAAAGAATATATGCATGCGGTAACTTTTTTGTAAGGTTGTAACGTTATCACGTCACCTTGTTTTATGGCTATAACGTTGCCACCTTCGTTGATGAAATTAGATTTCTGCTATATCTTTATCGTTGTTTGAGTGAATTATAATTATCTGTATTACTACACGGTGGATAGTGTATCAATTAATCATATACTGAATGTAGACAGACATACGTTGATGCATTTCATTTAAAGTGGATGTATGTTTTCGTCAGCTGCGTCTTTTGGTCAGTCATTAGTCCACATTTTTGTCAATACTCAACACGTCTGTGGTTTTTTTTTAAATTAAGAGATTGTTCATTAAGGCTATATTGAAATTAATTTATGGACTAAGTATGACAGAGTTATCTCCCCGTTTAAATGGTTCGAACCAATAAAGGACTAAGTTCTTGTTGAAATTTTGTTGAGCTGGGTGGGATTGTTGAATAGGGACTACGGCCAAAATTCAGAAAATTTCAATCCTAAATATCGAATCATCTACCCGTAATACAGGACAGAGTTCTTGATGGAAGTTTTTAAAACCCAGTGAGATTGTTTATTAAGACACGAGGAGGAAAGCTGTTCAGTTTTTCCAAGAATTGTATTGTCTATTAGAGTATAATGTTCATAAATCTATTCAGATAAAAAGTTTAAATATAAAACAGAATATTCACTGGAATACATGTACATGAATCAAACGAATTGAGCATAAAGGTAATCAATTTGTAAAAAAAAATATTCTTTAAGTATAATTCAGTGCTAAGTGTTTATAAAAAAAAAATATAACTGTACATGTAATTCTAGAAAATATATATATATTGTATTCTGCTCGCTTGTAGAAATTGTAAATACATATTATATTTCACCCTTTAAAATGATTAATTTATTGGGTTGAGTATCTTTTGCTGTCTGACAATTTATAAAATGTCTTCAATTTAAAATGTCATATATTTATATAACCAAAGCTTATAGTTACAGAAATAATAGAATTGTAAATATATATATATTATATTCCATACTTTATTTTGTAGAGTGGGTGCTGTGCTTCCTGGTCTCACAATCTTTATAATACCTGTATGTCCAAAATAAAACAAATAAATCGTATTAAAACTGAAAATGAAATGAATAAATAATCAGTTATTTTATCCATGTGTTTGTCTGTTCAGATACGGGGAGTTGAATGGCCGAATGGTTAGCGCGTGCGCGTTGTATCATAAGGTCTGACATTGAGTCAACTGGCTTGGTTTCGATTCCCCGGTTGTACGTGAAAGGAGTAGAGTCGCCTATCCAACCTCATGGGTTTTCTCGGGGTCCTCCGGTTTCCTCCCACTGCTAAAGACCCCTACGCGCAAGCGAATTATTGAAATAAAATTGAACTATATGTTAGTCCCGAAATGACCTAGTTTGTGTCGAGTGAACATTAAACCCCATTTCTCTCTCTCTCCCCCCTTACTACAGTGACTCAGTGGGTTAGTGATGACTTACTAACCCTCTCTCCCTCTCTCCCATACTGAAATATAATAATATATTCATGTACAATTCATATTGTAGCCTTATTTTGCGTTTGGGCAATTAGGTTTGAACATTTTTAATTTTTGACGCTTCAAAGTGAAACAAAACTTCACACTATACCAGGCCGATTTAAATGAAGATGGGCCTTAGGGTATTCCACTTATGAGGCTTCTCCCAATCCCCCACCCTCACAACTAGAGGAAGATTAAAGTGTGATTTAAATACAATTGAGGATGGTAATTGATGTTTTAACACTACAGTACGTGTAAGAAAGCCTTATGGGTGACAGTGTCTGAAATATCATACACCTTGGTCTGGGGTCCCCTATATATCTTGAAGCCCTAGGCTTCATTACGTCATGCCTATAGATAAATCCGACACTGCACTATGTACCTTTAGACGAGTACCAGATTAATATTTTACGAGTTCGCGTCTTAACTTCAGTTGTAAGATTCGATGAAAGAATATTTGGTGGGGATCATAACAATGTGTTCATTTTTAGGGGGATCGAATTTTGGGTGAGAATTCCAGATTCTACCAACTCACGGTAGTTAACCGTTTTAAATTCTGAAGTATTCTAAACCGCCATATTGTTTTTATTAAATTTGCGGTTGAGTAACTGCCAACAAAATAATATTACCTTTATTAATAACTAATGATAAATAGTGATGGTCTCGGGTATTATTATAATGTAGCCATGTTGATAGTATTAACTAAATGTATAAATCTGGCACTAATTACATTAACATGACTCATTCCCTTTAATTAAATAGATAAATCTACTATATAAGTACTATACAGTTTATTAATAACAGAAGTTATGCACTCATGATGTATAGCAGACTTTATTAACTCAGCTTCTTTTCATAATTTGATGAGCAGATCGGAACAATATTTCAGAACTTTTATTTCATCTTGAATATTTAATATGCAGAATACAGATACTTGGTTTTTTTGGGGTTTTTTTTTTTTTCCTAGGTAGAGTGAAAAGTCAAACACCCCACACCCAAATACTTATATTTCCAGATCTGGGAACTAATCCGAATTAGAATTGGTATTTTCACTCGCCGGCTGATCGACTGGAAGATAAGTAGGCCTATGACGCAAGTTGTAACCTTGCACACTAAGGAGAGTTGTTATTATTACATTTGTGATGTGTTGGGTTGTTTACTATCCAAACCTGTATTCATTTACACATTCATGGGCATATTGGGCGGGGTTCCAGGGGATGCAACCCTTTTATTTAAATACACCCAATGATATGTTTTCAGACAAAATGAACTATGTTCGGACAATAATTACAGACAAAAACAGAATCTTTCAAAAGTCTATACATATCTTCTATGTTTACATTCAATAAATTGTTTTAGGGCCCAATGGTATTTATTCTAGAGCTTTACAAGACTCACAGAATCGATGGGAGAGAGAGGGGGACTACCGACCCTACATCTTTGCACAAAATACGCATACCCTGTTTTTAATACGACACCTGCCACAATATTCACAACAAAGAGCGCGAATTGGGCTTTAACTCGACACAAACTAGGTCATTTCGGGACTAACATGGTTTAATTTTTATACGCCCACATTTTAAACTTGAAATGTATGCTTATAACCCAAAGATCTCGGTTCCTTTCGATATTCGCGCATATCGGACCGTAACTTCCTGAATTATGGCCCCTGATTGTACGAAAAATCGCGTTTTTAGCTTGTGGACCCTATAGAGGTCATAATTTTTATCCGATTTAAAAAAAACGTATTATTATATCACCGTTAAACCCTAAGGGCGGCTGAGTTCGAATTTCGTAAAAAGCGGCCCAAAACTGACAGACAAAATGGCCGCCGTTCGTTCTCAAATAGCGTAAAAAATATGGTATATCAAGGTTGTGGACCCTATAGAGGTCACAATTTTTATCCGATTTTGTTGAAACTTGAAATGTAAGTTTATATCCCAAAGATCTCCGGTTCCTTTCAATATTCGCGCATATCGGTCCGTAACTTCCTGAATTATGGCCCCTGATTGTAAGAAAAATTGCGTTTTTAGCTTGTGGACCCTATAGAGGTCATAATTTTTATCCGATTTAAAAAACCTTATTATTATATCACCGTTACACCCTAAGGACGGCTGAGTTCGAATTTCGTGAAAATCGGCCCAAAACTGACAGACACAATGGCCGCCGTTCGTTCTCAAATAGCGTAAAAATATGGTATATCAAGGTTGTGGACCCCATAGAGGTCACAATTTTTATCCGATTTTGTTGAAACTTTAAATGTAAGTTTATAACCCAAAGATCTCGGTTCCTTTCGATATTTGCGCATATCGAATTGTAATTTCCTGAATTATGGCCCTTGATTGTAGGAAAAATCACTTTCTTTTTAGCTTGTTCTCTATCCATCTCTCGAAAATGTGGGCGTTTCCTGCCTGGCAGCCGCTGGTATTTCAAGAATTAACTTGCACGTAGGGGCCTAGCTGTGCGAGGAAATCGGAGTGCATGCAGAGAAAACCCACGATGTTGGACAGGAGACCATACTCACGTACAAGCGGGGAACCGAAACCACGCCACTTGATCCAATAGCAGACCTTATGACCATTCGGTCACCCAACCCTCTGTGTACAAGTGTACAAAAGGACAGCGTATACATTCAAAGAAAAAATAAGACCCGGGTCTTGTTTCTCGAAATCTTAACTAAAGATAAAATTCAAATGTTAGTACATGCTTCAATTTTGATTGGCCAAGCACTAAAATCAATCTAATATTATCCAATCAAATTCCTAAAATTTGGATTTTATCTTAGTTACAATTTCGAGAAACAAGGCCCAGCTGAATTTGACTGAAATATTCAGCATATTTTATTTACGTTATCTATTTTTAACTATTATAGAGCGACAACTGTCAACTCTATCTGATCTCCCATAATGTCCCTTTAATCAGATAAATAAAGCATGGAGTTAATGACCTAATTAGCAAGGATATCGTTAATTTGTCGTCATTTTATCTACCAGACCTACCACCATAGTCATATTGATTCTTAATAAAACAAAATCGATCTTGATCAGTCAAGATTCAGCAAAATGGAACAAATCTGGCACCGTCAACCTAATTGGACAGATATCAGCTGTTCCGAGGGCTAACGTTATCCTACCAGACCTTAGTTGATCGTTGATCTTCATATCGTGAAATTATACAAAACACAAAAAAAGCATATAAGTTAAACCGCAACAAAATTACCACAGCGTGGAAAGAGTTTCCACAACTAAACCCTTGCTAACTGAGAGCAGGCCTCACCATAAGGGGTGGAGACGGAGTGGTGGGTGCAGTTGGTGCACCGACCCAAGGCCCATAAGAGTCTATGGGGCCCGTGAATATCAATGTTCAAAATTGAAATGGGCAATTATGCATGGATTTTTTATGTACAAAAATTTTCGCTTTATTGCTAGTGAATGATTAAGATATGACTAGTGTTGGAAAGGAGGGGGGGGGGGCATAAAAGATCTTGCCCCACCAAATTTATTGCCTCTCAAAGGCCCTGACTGAAAGGGGCATGTCATGGTCTGTCTTGTTTTGTGTTCAGTAATATTGTTATATGTGGGGGAGGTGAGTGTTTTAAATCATACTCCTGAAGCGATGATGTTAATTGTTCTAACCACATACACCTCGCAGTGCTTCGTTTGATTATGCCTAATCTCACTCAAACACATCTGGACTGGCTGAGAGTCGACCATAGCGCCGCTGTCCGGGAAAATTTTATCCAATTTCGTTTCATTTACTGAATATAAACAAAACTTACATAAGAGGATAAAGTGAAATAATTAATTATGTCAATTATGACGGTATTTATTATCTATTATCTAGTTTTCTGATACCAATATATAGTATTACGTCACGGGATTATATATTAACTAAAGAGGCATTATGAATCTCACTAATTAAAAAAATAAAACGTAATTAATTTTGATAAATATTAACCTAGGACTGAGAGAAGGTTCATAATTTTTATAAATTGTCCCAATCGGGTTTAACGTCCAGTCGACACAATCTAGGTCATTTCGGGACTAACAATGGTTCAATTTTATTTCAATAATTTATTTGTGCGTAGGGTTCTTTAGCAGTGGGAGGTTGGACAGGCGATCCTATTCCTTGTCATGTACAACCGTGGAATCGAAACCATGTCAGTTGACTCGATGACAGACCTTATGATAAAACGCGCAAGCTCTAACCATTCGGCCATCCAACCCCCTGAGTAGGACTAGACTGACTATAATGTATGTGATGTACTGTTGTATCATTTGTTCATATTTAGAATTTTATCTGTTCCGGAGATCTGTTCACTGGTATAACCGGGATCGCAGTTTTACGTGCTATGTAAACGCCCAGACGCTTTTCCTTGCTGAAAGAACATTCCCCGCTAAAAGCGGGATCGAAGCCGGGACCTCAAAAGTTCAGCGGACATTCGTGCCAAGAGCTTTTCTCTATTAGGCCAATTATTGAATTTTCGATCATATGTTTATAGAATTAATTACAATTTTTCTTGGTTTTGTTGAAATTTAAAATCCTATTCAAAGTCGAACTCCAATAGAAGTATGTGGTAAGCAATATATTAGGATTAAGATTATTAAGGTTATTATCTCATTCGTAACACCGAGTGCATGTAGACAGTGACGCCAAAGACATGGGATTACCACTGTCATTTGTTGAGTGAAAATCTGAGATTAGTACTGGTTGTGAAATACAAATCAATGTGTTTGTCAACTGTTCCTAATCGGCTTAAAATAATACACTATAGCGTGATGTACATACTAAAACATACATGAATGAACTCAAATCTACAGGGTTTAACGACCCATGCAATAAATCTTATTTCTTGCAAATCACCATTAAATATTCCACTGCTGCTCTCCCCCTCCCACCCCACCCATTCCCCCCCTCTCCCCCAGCTCCCTCTCTCTCTTGTAAGTGGGTCGGGTGGGGTGGGGGGGGGGGGGGGGTAACGTACGCTTCCACCTATGTTCATTTCGCAGACAAAACCTTTAATCCCGACAGATCTGAAGTTTTATGCAGACAAATTGGAGCAACGCTGGGCTTTAAAATGAACACAAGCTAAAAGATAACTTTCAGCGCAATGCAATAGGAGTGCTGTGAAGGAAGGGAATATCCGTATACATGTACCACTGTACTCTATACATAACGCAATAAATACTAAAATTTTAATCAAAAAATCAAAAGGCGTTAAATTTCCACACCGCTAAATCCCCTGTCGCGGTAGACATTATTTGTTGTTTTGGGGGGGGGTTTGGGGGTTTTTTTTCATTACAAGAAGGATACCTATCAGCAAGTAAAATGAAAAGCATACGTCATAATATGCAATACAGTTAAAGATGTGAGAGCTGATTCTACCTATTGAAGGTCTTTTTTTTCTGACTTCAAATGGTATTTAGATTATTATTTATAGATACTTATTTACAGGACAAGTCCGTTATCAACTCTTAACTAACATGGATATTAATTGGATTAGGCCATCCACACCATTTAATCGGTTAACGAGTGTCAAAACTTCAAAATTCATAACTTCGCTCAGAATAAAGTAATTTGTCAGAAATTTTCAGTATGTATTCATTTTTCATCATCTATTTTTAAACTATTCTAGCGAGAATGACCAGCTATTTATTTAAATATCACATAATGTATCTTGAAAGTAGATAGTACATGTATAGGTAAAAAGGTATATGGTGGTAGTGGCTGAATGGTAAACGTGTGCGCGTTTGATCATAAGGTCTGTATTGAGTCAAGTGGTGTGGTCACGATTCCTCGTTTGTACGTGACAAGGACAAGGGTCCCCTGTCCAACCGGTTTCCTCCCACAGATAAAGACCCCTACGCGCAAGCGTCTTATTGAAATAAAATTGAATCATATGTTAGTCCCGAAATGGCCTAGTTTGTGTCGACATTCTCTCTCTCTCCCTCTCTGTCTTCGTGTAAAACGATCGATCAATCCTCGACTTCACAGGGAACTGAGTACCGTGTCAAACAGCAGCACCCTCTCACAAATCGGTCGTACACGTTAACATATAGGTAGTCACGGTTTACCTATATGAAACGAGCATAGATGTAATCTTTCTTGAACATCTCATGCCACTTCTCATTTGAGAAGTTGGTGTTGCCAACAAATTTATCATAGATTAGAAGACCGAGGAGTACCGAGTATTATGTCGAATCATGTCAAACAAAAATAAATCTTTTACTGTTCCGCAAGAATGGCGTAAGTAATTGCATTTTCTATTCATACCACAACCATGGTGAAATTCTCTCACAACAAAGAAATTAATTACCAGGGCTACGCTATGATCACCATGTGTATAGAATAAAGTAACCCACGAGTCGATATATAAAATGAATTGAACAAACCCTCTTGTTATGATATTCTATTAGATCTAAATGATAAGCGTAAATTATTGATTAAAATATTTATTTTCATGACAATAATACTTTTCACTGGGGAGTTTAAAGCTAAACGAGATTTTTATTCTTAGTCTGAGTCACACTTTTGTTAATCATATACTGTGTTACGTATTGCAAAAGATAATTTTGTCACAGCAGCGATATACTTATTTCTTTTAAGCATAAATCATTTTTAGAATTGTCATAATAGTAATGGGTTCTACTATTTTTGACTATACCGGCCTTACGAAACACTTTTAAACATTTTTCAATCAAAACAAAACTGAACAAAAACAAATTCTTCAACTAAACCAGTCAATATTACAAGATGATCTTAAAAGTTCGTTCCTCATTTTTTTTAAATTTCTAAGTGGGGGGTTGTCCCTTTAATTTCAATTTTCACATAAAATCAATACCAGTAAACCTGATAATTAACTGGACTTGACTTCTTGATGCAATGCTTCAAATTTCTTCTATGTATGATAGTTAAATATTAAGAAACTAAATTACCGGTACTTGTATTGTCGTCGGGTGGAAGTAAAACGAAAAACTTCTACCATTCAAGTGATCCTACTGTGTTCACTTTATCGTAATTCTAAACTGACAATTCAACTTACAGCGCAAATTTTAAGCTGTTTTCCTTTTAGTTTAGCTTGCATTCTATATAATTTCACCCCATCTCGAGAAATATTTCTTCCGATCAATTTTGTTGACATTAATGTACTCTTTTTTTTGTTTGTGTATTAACCTTTAGGTTGTTAATTAATGTTTTTATTTCATTTGATCTTCAAATATTCAATATTATTAATTATTTTCACCTTTTGAGTATCTATAAAAAATATACAATGTATTATTAGCGGGTCAATATGGTAGCATTGAAGCGGGCGCGTGCAGGTTGTCGCGTGCAACAGTCGTCTAATCAATGCCAATAAAGCGCTGGTCTGCTACGGGGTTGTAAAGCAGACGACCATACCCTGGTCATTATTATATATATCATAAAATCGACCGCTTAGATTTGCCGTATGCGATACAGTTAAGTAGAATATGTGCCATAGTTATTCTTCGGATATATAGGCGATGTTTAAGTGTATACTCTATGAAAAAGGTTGGGAAATTAACCCCACTGCTGAGTAAAGAGCGCGCGCTGCCAATCTAGCAGGTGACATATTAATAATTTAACTCCTGAAAAATACTCGAGCATCCACGTTTTGTAGAAATGTTGAAAACGATCTGTACTTGTAATTAACCAGTTGTTAGTGTAATATAATCACGGATTACAGACAGTCGTTTACTTGTCGCTTCAAGCAGACGGATTACTAACACCGAATACACGCCAGGCACCTCACTTATTTACAGAGAGTAGGTATGTGGTTAACGGTAGGTGCGCTGATAGATACCAATGCCGTGTGTTCCTTACATCTTCTGACTGTGAGGCGTTTTATATAGGCCTACCTTGTCTAAACCGATACCTCCACTGGCCGGCGTACATCTGACAGTAACACACTGATTGAAACAGTAGCCGTTATGTTGAACGCTGATCACCGACCGAACAGCCCTAGCCAATAGGATGCCGTCGCCATATATGGATTGCCGAGCAGTACTCTGATGTGTATTCCCTGTTGCTTCCATGGCCGATAGTTTCGCATAATTTATTCGCCCTGGTGCTGGCATCTTTCGTATCGGTCCGTTTCTCCGATCTCCACGGATCTTCTGTAGATTACAACACGACATGGAGATGATATATTTATCATGGCGCCGTAAAAGGAACTAAAGATCGAAGTGTGTTGTGGAGAAAATCGCGGATGGAACTGTAAATCCGGGGGAATCAGTCGGCTAGTAGACCTGCTGTAGGAAACATACCTCTCGTATTGTATTTACACATATATATATATCTACATAACCCAGCTTCCGTTTTAAGCGAACACACGGACAACCGTTTTATTTTAGTCGAATTGTCTTCTTTTTAATACCAACAACTATTACGACATTACCAGATCAATTTTATCCTGTCTTTCGACCAGAAAGCGAGAACTAACCAACCGAGGTGTGATGTATATTGAGATATATATATGATTTACCTGTGTTTTACCTGTGAAGGTAGACGTGAGTGGATTATACATTGTCAATAACCAGGTAATACCAAGATCGTTCTCAGCTGTTTTATTCACAAACCGGGGATAAAATGCACAACGGTGATGTGTTAAATTACCCGAAAATTTGGAACTTGTCCGTGTAATTACAGGTATCACTGTCGTCATAACAACCAGGTGATATCTAAATTTAACCTGAATTTATTTTCGATATTTTACTGTTTGTGAAATTTATATCGTTTTCTGAAGGTAACCGAATTCTACCCGCAGGTATATATACTGATTGATCCAAGCCGTTTCGTTTCAATGTTGATTAATTTTTACCAAATCGGACCCAAGGACTACTCGAGTGGAACCAATTCGACACCAATGAGTGTATAGTGCCTACCCAAATCGTATTGATTTTACCATAATTGGGACCGATGTGTGTACATGTTAGAGGACGTCGTCACCAATGATACCGGCAGTTGAAGTTAAAGTAAAGCGGTCCTTGCAATGACCTCGGGCGGAGGACGATTTGATTTCGATGATGGGGGGACGTACTGTGGCGGTTGGGAAGATGGCAAGGCCCACGGACACGGGGTCTGCACTGGCCCCAAGGGTATGGGCGAGTACGCCGGGGCCTGGCAGTTTGGTTTCGAAGTGTCAGGAATCTATACCTGGCCTAGTGGTAATAAATATAGGGGCCAGTGGTTCCAGGGTAAACGGCATGGACTGGGTTCGGAGAACAAGGGCCGATGGATTTATCGCGGAGAATGGACTCAAGGATTTAAGGGCCGATACGGTGTAAGGGCCAGTAATAATTCCGGTGCACGTTACGAGGGAACGTGGACGACAGGATTACAGGACGGATATGGATGTGAAACATACGCCGACGGAGGTAAGACCACTCATTTGTCCTAAATTTTTGGAAACGTTTAAATTATTGGATAACGTTAGTTATTTCTCCACAGGATACACAAATTCTCTGGGATAAGAAATGAATGTTTCTTCTTATTCTCCATGAAGTCCTTCTTTTCTGATAAAATCATGGATATGGTTGTAATGTGCACACAGAACATTTAGTTTTTCTTTTCTGATAAAGTCATGGATCTGGTTTTAAGGTGCACCCAGAATGGATGCCAAAATCCAGATTAATCTAGACAATAATTGTATTCTCTTGATAATTTAAACTGATGCAGACAATTATCATTCACAATACCCTGCCATTAAACTAATCACAGTAGGTGGTGCTGATTAATTATGACCAAGCATAATATCCTAGAGTAGGTAATGGCCAAATCAGATAGTTCATGCAGATCATGACAAATTTTATAACCGGCTTGGACGCACATAACCCCTAAAGGATTTTATAGGAACAACCCCTTAATCGAACCCCTTTGATCGGAGCCTTAAAGGAACAAATCCTTGAGAAAGAAGAATCAAAATATGACCAAGTATAATATTCTAGTATAGGTAATAGCAAAATAATTCATGCAGATCATGACAAGTTTTATAACCGGCTTGGACGCATACATAGGTTTTAATATAGGAACAGGCCCTGAATCCAACCCCTTTGATCGTGACCGTAAAGGAACAAATCCTTCAGAAAAAGAATCAAAACATTACCAAGCATAACAATCTAGAGTAGATAATGGCAAAATAATTCATGCAGATCATAAGTTTTATAGCCGACTTGGATGCAAATAATCCCTAAGGAACAAACCCCTTAATCTAATTCCTTTGGGGTTAGCCTTACAGGAACAAATCCCCGAGAAATGTAATCAAAATATGATCTTGTAACTCGTGATCCCAGGATTGATCGGGTTTACGACCCTATCGCAATAATCAAGTATCATTCTTGATAATCGATCACTTCCTTATGGCCCCTAAGTCAACAAATCGATGGATTGGAATACAAATGTTCCAGAAAATTTTCGAAATATCCTTTATCTTGCTCAGAATTCAGCGCAATAAAAAGATACTTTAAGGTGAAAATCTTCATTTTAAATTTAGGGTAAAACGTGAAGTAGTTTTTGTATCTTAGTGCTTATTTCTCCTTTAGCTCCTGAGAAGCAGTTACTTCAACAATTCTAGCTTCTATCAACAGATGCTCGGAGACCAATCTGATTAAAACACAGATCCTATTTCGTTTCGTTTTTTATAGTCAAAATGTCCTTTCACTTGTCTTAGCTACACTAGAGTGGAGGCCATCGAAAGTATATTAAAAAAAAACGAAACAAAATATAGATCTGTATTTTATAATCAGATTGCCTGGAGACTTAGAAATAACCCTGAGCGGGGACGATAAATGAAACTCCCCTGGTCCATAAATCAATCCAAATTATTTCCTGAAGCTTTGATTTGATAAATGTCAATTAGTACCAATATTCAATAGGGATTAACACATAATTAATCCAGATGTGGTGAATAAAACGTTGATTTAGAATCAATGAATTACTGTACTTATGATGAGTGTGATGTGTGAACGTACGTTCTCTTAATCCATGGCACATCAATTTCGTTCGTGACCATAGCATTTTTAGAGATTAATAAAGGATTATCCGACTTGCAGGTACCACACCTTATTGAACTTAAAAAATTGCACGACTGACATAACGATTAATGCAGATACTGTATCTTCTTTCAGAAAGCCAATCCCGTAGCAATCTTCTTAATTTTGGAGCGGTAAACAAATAATTGCTAGAATAATTGCTTCACCCTCACCTGATTAAATAAATTTAATATATCCCTAAAAGTTATTGAATAGCCTCCGATATTGTTACTTGAGATGGTAGCAACAATAAGCTTTGGGGCTTTTTTTTAATAATGATCACATGGGCCCGATTGAACTTTCTTTATCTTTGTGAGATCTAAGGTACTTTGATAAGGTATGCTCGAGAGACCCCCCCCCCCACACCCACCCGGTTTGTGTGCTACAAATAAGCAGCATAACGGTAAATTCTTAGATTAAGTTTTAGATTACACATATTATTCATTGGTTTGGTTGCATGTGCTTAATTAACGGTTTCTGTTGTTTGCCCTACATATAGAGAATGGTATCCTTTAGGAATGTGACCTTTTCTCAATAAATGAATCAGATATGAGTGATCGAATGACTAATTTAAGATTCATCTGAAATATTTCCATATCTTGCACATTGCAGTATGTATACATTACATTAACAAAATCAAACAGAATGTTTCCATATTTGATAGCCCAAGAGGTCGCACAAATATAAGGCTGAGCACACAATTATGATGAAAAGTATGTGAATGCCCTAAGTATAAGTGACGTGGTATAACCGTGTTAGCACCCCCCCCCCCCCTTCCCCACAACAGATAATATAATATACCGGTAGATATTAAATTGTGCACAGAGGGGGTTCCTTCTACTGAGGGGTTAGGGTTCCCGAATGATTAACGCGTGCGCGCTGGATCCCAAGGTATGTCATCGAGTCAAGTGGCGTGGTTAAGATTCCCCGCTTGTACGTGACAAGGAGTAAGGTCGTCTGTCCAACCTTGTGGGCTTCCTCAAGGTCCTCCGGTTTCCTCCCACTACTTAAGACCCTTTATGCGCAAGCGAATTATTGAAATAAAATTGAACCATATGTTAGCCCCGAAATGGCCTACTTTGTGTCGAGTGGATGTTAAACCCCATGTCTCTCTCTCTCCATCTATTGATCCAATGATGAGATTTGATATAAACGGCCATGTGATGGATTTCCAACTCATTGTACTACTGAGGTCTCTGACCATGCCCTAACTCATTGTACTAAGGTCTCTGACCATGCTCTAACTCTGACCATGCTCTAACTCATTGTACTACTAGGGTCTCTGACCATGCCCTAACTCATTGTACTACTAGGGTCTCTGACCATGCTTCAACTCATTGTACTACTGAGGTCTCTGGCCATGCTCTAACTCTGACCATGATCAAACTTATTGTACTACTAGGGTCTAACTCATTGTACTACTAAGGTCTCTGACCATGAAGATATTTGACCTTTGATACATTAATATGTCAGATTATCATATGTATATACACGACCGAATTCTTCTTTATCTGGCACTTGCTTTCTATGTATTCTTCCTCGAACCATTCTGCAAAGAAGTGAGCACTGACGTATTGTCTACGGCCTTAATTTACATACATAGTCCCTGAAATAAATACCAACTGATTTCTGGCGACCGGATTCAATCATCTCATTTATTCTAGATTTAAAGATTGCTTAATTGTGTCTAGTACGACTCCCCCCAACCAATACTTGTTAAAACTAAGTTTAATTAAATATCATTGATGACTATTGAGATTTATATTATAGGAAGAATGAAATTCAATTTATCTCATCTATATGACGGACGAATGGAACCATTGACCTTTTATCAATGATTGAATCAGTTCGCCAGGAATGCGATGGTAGGAGGATGAAAGCATCTAATAATATACTCACCCTAATTTAACACCTTTCCAATCTATCGGTGAATTTTGATACGGGGCGCTGCGACATGAAAAACTTGGCACTCAAAACGGATAGCAGGTATCTTTGTGTAAGAAATGCCGCTTGAGGATATTGAAATGAAATGGGGATTACCTGTTCTGCTCCGACTTGAGTCCATGGAATCAGGGCTCACACTGTCGGTCGCCAAAGTCGCAATTTGCGTCACTGACGATTCTTTTTAAGAACTGGCGGAAAAAAAATCTTAAAATTCTAATCGTATTTATCCTGGATTAACCATTATTGAGTGGCAGTCACATGGCGGGATACTATAAATTAATCAACTGGCTGATAATCCGGATCGCGTCAATGAGTAATACTAATAAGTTGTCTTGGATTAATGATTAGTTGATTGATAATTGCCATTGATATATATAAAGCCTATCTCAAGTCATTATTTACTCCTAATTGATTAATCAAAAAAAAAAAAAGATAAATACATGTAATCAAAATGGCCGACAGTTCCTTTCGAAGAGAATTACATACTTTGATAGCTGAATTCCGTTTACAGTGGCTTCAGATACGGCATGTAAAATATACAAGCATGCCTACCGGATGATGGACTTAAGTATTAGGACAACAGGTTCGTAAATTTGACCCCGTCTTCATTAGCCCAGTCGATGCTGAACAGTAGGACTTTAAACACTATTTCACTTTATTTCTCAAATTTGACTTGTCTGTTTTGTATTTGATAAACGTTTATTGCCCCCATGATCAGACCTGTTGCCTGGAGCTTATGACTCCCACGGAGGCTTAAACGAAGTAGTTATGAATGTAATATTTCTTTCAAAATTTACAAAATTATTTATGTAATCTGTCTTGATAAAACAACACAATTGTCATCTCTTGTTTAAAATAATTTGCTGAAAGCCGTTTGGTCTTGTAAATGCACCTGCTCGTGATGGATGGAGAAATTATCGACGCTTCGATGTAAGTACAACCTAATCGATTATGACCTAGTTCTATAGTCAAATTATAGTTAATTTATATCAAAGTTTAGTAGCGTTAAATATATAGCTATCAATACTGTACGCTTTATTTGAGGCACATTTAAATTACTACCTTTTGTGAAACACACTCACATGGTGTCGTTAAAACGTTAAATGTATTACATTCATAAAATTAGTCTAATGTTTAAAAAAACACACGCCTATAAGAAAAATTTGATAGTTTATTTTAGAAATGAAATGAAACGGGGTTTAGCGTCCTGCTGTTCTGCTCTGACGGGGATAATGAAGACGGGCATACACCATACAGTGCGCGATGAGGGAAATTTTGCCCGGGTAGCGGCACTATGGCCTACTCTTATATCGAATTCCAACTGCCAGGGGATCTTTTACGTGCACGCAATGGTATACACGGTACCTCTGTTTTCGTCCCATCCGAACGACTATACAGCTGTC